TCTGAGAAGCCTCATCACTGAATTAGTACATTAGGCGCAGGACCATTTGAATTTAGTTCTCTCTCTTAACCACCACATATTATAGTACAGCATATAAGGCTATTATGGATGGAAGGTACAAAATATGAAGTATTGTACTTAAAATGAACATTGTTGTACTATTATGTTGAGCATAAAGGCAACAGGCAAGCCTAAACTTTTCCTAGGCCAAAGCATTCATGCTCTAAATTATACGAATTGAGTATTAGCCTAAAATTGCTTGTTATGGCCTAGGGAAAGCTAGGCTTATAGTTAGGTTATTTTAGTTTTTATGCCCTTTAGAATTCAAATAGTACAAAACGTGAATTTCATATGGGTACAACAATCTATATTTTGCACGTTGTTCATAGCGGCCATAGGTACTCTGCTCTTTGTAGGATGGGTTGCACTCTGTAAATTAATTCGTAACTGTGATTATTTATTTTCGATAAATTATTCTGATTCTGTGGTAATACTCTTCGATTCTGGGGCAATACTGAGGGTAATAGTATACAACTAAAAATCACATAAGACACTGATCTGGCTTTAAGTATCACCATCTTGGTTTGTCACTGAGGTTACATATCGATCTTCAAGATCAACAGTTGTTTGTATATATAATTAGAGAAATTCTTTATATAATTTTTTGCAGGCCGAAAATATTCGTGAGCTCATTTATACACTGAACTAAAATCTAGGTCCTGGGCAATGGTAGATAGTTTAATTTGTTTATTATTGACCCCTTACCCATCCTGGGGGGGGAGAGTAAATTTCTCAGAGGAAGTTATGAGGTGAAGGGATGACTCCCTGCTCTCTCCCCCCTCCCCCACACACACAAACAAGGCACCAGGTGACAGGACACTCTCCCTCCTCCACCCAACACACACCATAAACAAGATGCCGTCAGTTACAGACATCTGATGGATCACACAGCCTACTGCCAGACCCATCACGACCGGACGCTGGCAAAAATCATAATAATAAACAAACCTTTGTCTACCCTCACCGAGAGCTACCAGCCCGACTTCCTCAGTTGACTTGATACTTCCTCCCCGTTGATCTTGATCACAAGGACCCCCCCTTGGAGGAAAAGTGCGGTGGTTACAGTTTACACAACGCTGGATTTCACTAATTGTTGGAGAGGTCGGGAGCGTGGCGGCGCCCGTGGACCAGCTGGGGACGTAGTGAGGTTGGCACCCTGGCGCCTCTCTCTTAAAGGGACAGCTTCCAGCGGGTTCAAGTGCCAGGTACCTCCACACCTCTGTTATCACACTCTTTGTCAAAGAAGTAATTAATCCTGATTCATAAGAGTTAATTTCGACTGTTAACAACAAGAAGAATTCAAGAAGAGATTATAACTGCTTACTTGAAAATATGTTTTGTTTGTGCGCTAAACCATAGGATTTAGGAACAAAGAGTTGCCATTACTGGTAATATCTTGCATTTCATTCCAGTTTCCCACTTCCCTACAACATCTATATTTAACGCGGACATCTTTTATTATTTTATTTGTCGGTAATCAGTGGCGAGTGCCTCGTAAATTAATTTTTCCACATTTTAAAACAATAAACTCAATACATTAATAAGTACTGTAGATGGGAAATAGGCCGACACGTGGAGTAGCCTCACACCCGGATGCAGGTACAAACTAGGAACACTGATCCAGACGACCCCTAGCTGGTATTTACGGTCCAAGGTGAAAAGTAGAGCTCGACGATGCTTAAAGGTGATGTGGCACGCGACTCTTGTCTAGTGGATAGTGTCCTGTCGGTGGCGGCGGGCGTGGGGAGGGAGGGAGGGATTTTGACTCCCCAAGATGATGTTACTGGGCCATTTAACACCCTCCTTCCTTCTCCATTGCTCTGTTCTGGCCAGTGATGTCTGTGAGGAGTGGATCTGCCTTCGCTTTTCTCCCCCCCCCCCATTTCCCCCACACACACTGTCTGTCTCTCTCAGTGGGGGGCTGGCTGCCTTTGAGAGGGAGGAGGGCGACTGGCTGCTTTCGTGAGGGGGTTGGGGGGGGGGGAGCGTTGGCTGCCTTCGTGATGGGGGTTGGGGGGGGGCGGTTAGTTGCCTTTGTGAGGGGTTGGGGGCGGTTGGTTGCCTTCGTGAGGGGGTTGGGGGGCCGTTGGTTGCCTTCGAGAGGGGGTTGCGGGGGCGGTTAGTTGCTTTCGAGGGGGAGGCGGTTGGCTGCCTGCGAGAGGGAGGGGGTGGGCAGAGTGCTGCCTCGAGTAGGGATGAGGGCGGATGGCTACCTTCGAGAGAGAGAGAGAGCGGCAGTCAACGCTCCCGGCCTCCCTCTCAAAGGCAGCCAACGGCACCCATCCCTTCTCGAAAACAATCACCCCCCCCCCCCCGCTACCTCCACACAGTGAATGACTCCACCAGCACCTAGAGGCAGTCGTAGAGCCAGCCTTGAGAAGCAGCCAGGGTGATATGCATAGAAGCTGCCGTAGGAGGCGGCCATTGTGAAAGCAAATATGAACCGGAACCACACAATGCCCCCTCGAGGAACCCGAGACCTTCTCTGCTTCTCTTGTCGCGCTAAACTACTTTTTTCTTCTGTCTGCTCCAGCATTTCTGTTTTCTCCTGCGATGCACCAGGAGCACCAGCTCCTCCAGGAGCTCCGACATTCGTCGCAGGCGGCCACGCGCCTCCGCCGCCAACCACAACCAAACCACAAGAATAAATTGGTCAACCTCAGGCATTTTGAGGGTTTTATGATAAGTATTTTCATTAAAAATAACGTTGTTTTGGGAACAAATTCCCTTCTTTTGATAATTGCATTACACTGGGAACCAAATTTGTATATTTTAATTATAAAATAGTGTGATGGCGTAAGACTTCCGTCTGACATGATCAAACCCGTCGGTGGTGCTCTCGTCTCCTTAATAACCTGCTGGAGACCTCCACATCATTCCTCTACCTTAGCCAGTCATACACAGTATTTTTTAATAAGCTTAGGCATACACAGTAGTGTACTGCTGCCTTATTCTATATGTAACATTACAGTGTAGATAAAAAACTAGCCATAAGTTCATCTAATATCCCCATCTTCGCAGGATAGTTAGTCATACACGGAGCAGGAGAGACCTCGATAAAAGTCTACTGTGTATGAATACACTCTGGCTTCCTGTCCCCCGACACAATGAATTATTGTGTTACTCGTCTCTCATTTCTGTCTCACTTACGCGGTGAATGAGTGTTTATGACTCACATGTTGGCTTCAGTGAGGTTATGCCCGATGTGTTCAACAACTTATGTGATGTCTTATCTATCTCAGTTGAAATCTTATTTGATTTGTAACTCTGCGCTGTGCTAGACAATGTTCCAGTGGACTGTCAGACATTTCTCCACACCGCTGTATAATATACTTACATACACAGTGTAAGTATGAGCATTATGCAAATGCTATACAAATGATGAACCTCTGATCCAGTTGACTTGGCTCACAATTCAATCAGTATCCAAGTTGAATTTGCAATCGTCCGTGTAATATCCCCCCCCCCGAGACGAGAGCAGAGTTGAGCTCACATAAAATGCTTTTAATTGTATTTGCAGCAAAGAAGTTCACTTTTTATTTGAATAGTGCAAAGATTGGCAGAAGGCGGACTGTCGGAGTCTAGGGACAATGGGTGGATGAAGGACGTTCAGGATTTTAAACTCAAAGGCTTGAGAGTAGAGTAAAGCTGAACAATACAAGGATTATGTGTAGAAGCCGACGAACAAGTATCATAAATCAGCGCTAGGCGCATCTCTTAACAATTTAGGACCAATAATTTAAAGAGTTAACCAAGACTTTGGAAAGTCTCCTCACAAGCCGAGGGGCATCTCGCTTCTCTTGTCAAGAGACTCACCACAGGGTAAGTCCTCTATGCCTCCGTGTGGATACAAATAAATGACCGGTGTAGTGGAAGTTAGATAACACTACTGTAGGATAATTGCGCACAAACTGAGCGCATCACACCGCGAGGACAGGCTACGGGACCCGTCATGCTCAGAGGGCCACAAAGATAACAGGTTTCAAGATATCTTTATTATAAAACATTTACAATTAGGATCTATTGCAGATATTACATGAGGATTTAAAGATGTTAGAGAGTAGAGCGTGTTAGGCAGATGGCGCCTTGTACAACCAGGTGTACTCAGGCTCCACAGTGTCTGGGTGTGGAGAAGTTTCCCAATTGTTTCTGAAATTACCTGAGGGCCACTAACACTCTAGTGGCCTCGATGAGGACAGGAAGCCGGCGGCTTGTCAAGGGGTCCCCATATTTTTTTTTTTTTAAGTAGAGTACTGATACAGTTGACAACGGCATGTGTGTGTGTGTATGTGTGTTTGTGTACTTACCTAGTTGTACTTGTGGAGGTTGAGCTCTGGCTCTTTGGTCCCGCCTCTCAACTATCAATCAACTAAAGTACAGGTTCCAGAGCCTACTGGGCTCTATCATATATACAATTGAAGCTGTGTATGGAGTTAGCCTCCACCACATCACTTCCTAATGCATTCCATTTGTCTACTACTCTGACACTGACAAAATTCTTTCTAACGTCTCTATGGCTCATTTGGGCACTCAATTTCCACCTGTGTCCCGTAGTGCGTGTTCCCCTTGTGTTAAATAGTCTGTCTTTATCTACTCTATCAATTCCTCTGAGAATCTTGTATGTGGTGATCATGTCCCCTCTAACTCTTCTGCTCTTCTGTCTCCCAGTGACGTGAGGTTTAATTCTTGTAGTCTCTCTTCGTAGCTCATACCCCTCAGTTCGGGAACTAGTCTGGTGGCAAACCTTTGAACCTTTTCCAGCTTAGTCTTATGCTTGACTAGATATGGACTCCATGCTAGAGCCGCATACTCCAGAATTGGCCTGACATATGTGGTATACAAACTTCTGAAAGATTCCTTACACAAGTTTCTAAAGGCCGTTCTTATGTTATCCAACCTGGCATATGACGCTGATGCTATCCTCTTTGAAATGGGCTTCAGGGGACAGGTCTGGCGTGATATCAATCCCCAGGTCTTTCTCTCTCTCTCTGACTCTTGAAGTATTTCATCTCCCAAATGATACCTAACTACAAACACATACATACATATATATACAATCATTGAACTAGAGAGAGACAGGACAAAGAATACGTAAACTCAGAATTGTTACGACAAAGAAGTAAACAAAATCAGATAGCATTATCAAGTACAAGTATCACAGGAATAATGTACACACTGGCTCTCTCTATTCAAGGCTTTCACTCCATTTACAGGTACAATACAAGAACCTACAACATGTACATCTCACAAGCAATACAAGCTACTATGATACCTATAAACATATTCCTGCCACACGCACATGTATCATGACGCATGAACGTTCAACACAGATAAAACTCATCCTGATACAAGCAAAACGTTTCTTGGCACAGCCTGACACACAAAAGGTTGTGTAACCCTTTCAGTAATTTTAACGGTACTGGGAAGCGCAATTATTAGTATCACTTTCAAGATCCTTTTAGGTACGAGCTTTCGGGCCTATAGCAGCCTCGAATGATAACTGTTAGTGTCTTCGTTTCTCATCCAAAACGTTGCAAGAGCTTCACGCTCAATAAGCCATAATGTAGGACAAAATACAGGAGATGCTTTTTCTCTCAAGAGGGTTATAAACTCATGGAACTACCTACCACCCGAAGCCGTAAATGCCAAGACATCATTTCAGTTCAAAATCAAGATGGAAAAAATTTCCGAGGAAAAACGTGGGGACATTTCACAAGCCGCAATCTTCCTGTCCTCGTCGAGGTTACTAGAGATGGTGGCCCTCAGGTAAGGTAAATATAAATATATATTCGAACATAATTATATAGATAATTAATTATAATTTCAATTGATATCACTTAGGGAAGTGTTTTAGGAAAGCACATTGAGTCTACCCCCTTTCACGCGCGTCCCAGTCAACACAACATGAAATTGTTTACAGTGACAAATGCCACCAAGACCAGGAGACCAGCGGGGAAGGTGGGTGCTGAGGCCCCGTCTGACATCACCTTACCCGCCTCCTGCACGGTGCTCACGGCTGAGGAGGAGTACTCCACTGTCTTGAAGGTGGTGTGTTGCCTAGTGGTGGTAGTGCTGCTGCTGCTGGTGCTGCTGCTGGTGCTGCTGGTGGTGGTGGTGCTGGTGGTGCTGGTGCTGCTGGTGGAGGTGCTGGAAGAGGTGGTGGTGGTATCGTCCTTGCTTGATTTATACTGAGGTTGCTGGCGGGAGCGGGGGCAGTTCAGGGGCTCGGTTTTCCTCATCAGCCAATCATTGGCTTCCTCTCGACCCTGCCTCACAAGCTCTGGACCAATCACCGAGCGGACCTGCGCGTGGTAGCTGTTGAGCCACTCACACTGCGCCACGTGTCGGGCAGAAAAACATACTTTAGAACATCTGAACATTAACATAAATGAAGAACAAAATTTTAGTATTAAATTAATCTCCAGCGCTGAGAAATGTACCATAAACAATTATTTATGCAAAATGTGTCCTCAACTTCTTGAACATTGACATAAAAAATACACAAAGGCATTATTTCTTACTCTATAATATTTCTCAAAAATTACAAAATTCTACTGTGTTGCAGAAATATAAAATTAACACAATGTAAATCTGTAAACAAGATATTGACAGATACATCAGTACAATACAGAGAGAATAATAATATACCTTAATATGAATACAGAACTGGATATATGTAATTATATACTACACAATAAGTTCATGTGACGTCCTACCATATATCCCAAGAGGAGAAACATGAGCCAGATTCACAAAGCATTTAAGCAAGTACTTACAAACCTGTACATCTTTTCTCAATCTTTGGCGGCTTTGTTTACAATTACTAAACAGTTAATGAGCTCCGAAGCACCAGGAGGCTGTTTATAACAATAACAACAGTTGATTGGGAAGTTTTCATGCTTGTAAACTGTTTAATAAATGTAACCAAAGCCGTCAAAGATTGAGGAAAGATGTACACGTTCGTAAGTACTTGCGTAACTGCTTCGTGAATCTGGCCCCAGGTTACTCAAGCAGGACCACACCCACCTGGGAGTCACCAAGGAGAGTCAGGTTGATGAGTTTGGCTTCGAAGGGAACAAGAGTCACAGGTTCGAACCCCAGAGACCGCTTGTCAAATTTGTACTGTGTGGGAGAAATGACCTGTGTCAACTTTGTTGTGATTCCAGCAATAATACAGCCCAACCAGCAGCCCCAAGCTGTAAGTCAAATACTGACTTACGTAGGCTTTAATAAGTAATCATTTGACCTACAGGTTGCGTCCCCGAGGAATTTGTTTTGGTGGAGGTTTGTAATAATAACAAAAGCAACAAAACAATAACACAAAGCTCCGCCCCCCTTCCCCTCCCAAAAAACAAAACTGACCATAACTTTACGTTTATATAAGGGTGAGAATAGTCCACTAATGCTCCAATCTGACCTTACAAACAGCTGTGGCATAACAAATAAGTCTAATAGGGTAACAAAGTGTATATATATATATATATATATATATATATATATATATATATATATATATATATATATATATATATATATATATATATATTCCAAGCACCATGGTACACCTTTGCGGTATATAGAGCCCAGCTCTGAAAGGTACCATGTTCCTTACTGTCAATATTAGCCTCACGATCATTGCCAACCCCAATTCACCTAACTTATCCTAACATTACAAATTGAATACCGTTAATTAATACTTTCAATTACACAAATGAGCTAAGATTTGGAGGTATAATCCCTGAATGTACATAGTGTCATAAAACACGAAGAGGTATACTCCAGTTCAGGGGTCTTCAGACGTGTTTACAATGTCATATTCATATGGACTAGCAGGCACCAGGACCAACAGACACACAAGGACCAGCAGACACACAAAGACTAGCAGACACAAGGACCAGCAGACACAAGGACCAGCAGACACACAAGGACTAGCAGACACACAAAGACTAGCAGACACACAAGGACTAGCAGACACAAGGACCAACAGACACACAAGGACCAGCAGACACACAAAGACTAGCAGACACAAGGACCAGCAGACACAAGGACCAGCAGACACACAAGGACTAGCAGACACACAACCCTGGAAACACAAACCGAAACTGTCTCTATTTTCCGCTTGTTACAACTTGTAATAAAGTTGTTTCATCTTGGCTTAGCGTGTTTATGACGTATTAGAACGTTGTTACAACTTGCTATATTGGTTGTTATAACTGGTTAGGAGGTGTTAAAACTTGTTTGAACGTTGTACCAACGTCGTAGTTTCGGTGTGTGTTTGGCGGGAAAGACTAGCAGACACACAAGGACTAGCAGACACAAGGACCAACAGACACACAAGGACCAGCAGACACACAAAGACTAGCAGACACACAAGGACCAGCAGACACACAAGGACTAGCAGACACAAGGACCAACAGACACACAAGGACCAGCAGACACACAAGGACTAGCAGACACAAGGACCAACAGACACACAAGGACCAGCAGACACACAAGGACTAGCAGACACAAGGACCAACAGACACACAAGGACCAACAGACACACAAGGACCAGCAGACACACAAGGACCAACAGACACACAAGGACCAACATACACACAAGGACCAACAGACACACAAGGACTAGCATACACACAAGGACTAGCAGACACACAAGGACCAACAGACACACAAGGACCAACAGACACAAGGACCAGCAGACACACAAGGACCAGCAGACACACAAGGACCAACAGACACACAAGGACCAACAGACACACAAGGACCAACAGACACACAACGACCAACAGACACACAACGACCAACAGACACACAACGACCAACAGACACAAGGACCAACAGACACAAGGACCAGCAGACACACAAGGACCAGCAGACACACAAGGACCAGCAGACACACAAGGACTAGCAGACACAAGAACCAACAGACACACAAGGACCAACAGACACACAAGGACCAGCAGACACACAAGGACCAACAGACACACAACGACCAACAGACACAAGGACCAACAGACACAAGGACCAACAGACACACAAGGACCAGCAGACACACAAGGACTAGCATACACACAAGGACCAACAGACACAAGGACCAGCAGACACACAAGGACTAGCAGACACAAGGACCAACAGACACACAAGGACCAGCAGACACACAAGGACTAGCAGACACAAGGACCAACAGACACACAAGGACTAGCATACACACAAGGACCAACAGACACAAGGACCAGCAGACACACAAGGACCAGCAGACACACAAGGACTAGCAGACACAAGGACCAACAGACACACAAGGACCAGCAGACACACAAGGACTAGCAGACACAAGAACCAACAGACACACAAGGACCAACAGACACACAAGGACCAACAGACACACAAGGACCAGCAGACACACAAGGACCAACAGACACACAAGGACCAGCAGACACACAAGGACCAACAGACACAAGGACCAGCAGACACACAAAGACTCCCATAGACAGGAGCTGAGAGCGAGGGAGGAAGATCAACACCCACCTTGGTGGTCTTGGTGACTACGGTGAGGATGGTCTCCAGGCGGATCCCCCACTCCTCGTCCTGGTAATATCCCGGCTCTGCGGAACAATAAGTAACACAATAAGGAAATGATCACATGTGCTACGGTCCCAACATCACCTACATGATGTCACGCCTCCATCTCTTTACATCTCACAGTAAAGTTGAGTCTATGATCAGTCATAGAGTACTTCTAATTTTAAAATCCTAACCAGTCTTCCTAAAGCCCTAAACTGCGCGGTAATTTAAAAGTTCTAGACCTATTTGCATGTATATAAAAATAATAATATAATTAAAAAATCGCATAGGGCGAATAAAGCAAAATAAGAGTTTAATTTATTAGGAAAAAAATCGTCATGGAAAGATAGATTAGAAGGAAACTTGATGCATCCAACTCAGTTGTTGCTGTGGCAGCTCTGCATGCTGTGGCAGCTCTGCATGCAGTAGCAGCTCTGCATGCTCTCATACTTCACGTCATCTCACTCACTCAATAACTAGCCACTAGACGAGAGAGAGCAGGCACCAGGAGCCTCCATATTGACGTTTCCTGCACACGTACACATCAAAGCCAACTTTCGTATCATCCAAAATATTAAATATGAAGCAACTGGATTTGGAAACAGCTTGACGACCGTATAATATACATTTATTTAAACAGTCCAAACCACTTTCAAATTATTGATTAATGATTCAATTTTACTCACTTCATTTCAGGTACAAAAACTTTACCCTATTAAAATAAATAACATACAGAAGGCAAGACCTGATACTAAATAGACTGCTACACAGAAAACTATCTATAGAGGACATTATAGTATTACTATAGAAATAGAAATAAAAGTATTACACATGAAAAATGCATAAACGATGAGAGAATACATAAGCAAATTACAAGAACATGATATATCTCTGACAACATCTTAGAGGAGGAGGAGGAGGAAGAAGAGGATGAGGAGGATGAGGAGGAGGTGGAGGAGGCATAGGAAGAGGAGAGGAAGAGCGCCTCACCGTCAGAGAAGAACTGGCCCACTTCCAGTTTGTGTTCTTCCTTGCCGTAGATCCTTACTTGCGTCGGGGCTGTGGAGGAAACAAACACATGTACACACTATACCAGCTGATCCACGTACCTAAGAGTAGTGTAAACTCTCACTTAGTGTAACCTCTCACTTAGTGTAAACTCTCACTTAGTGTAAACTCTCACTTAGTGTAAACTCTTTGTGTAAACTCTCACTTAGAGGCCTTATTAAGGCCTCTCAACCTCTGGAGGGTTATTAAGGCCAGCATAATAGCTTATACCGACCAACCAGTAGAGTATACTTTACTCTTGAACACTGTTCAGGACTAAAGTGTACTCTTAGTGTATAATATACACCGAGAAACGAGGGGTTACACCTCTCAGTGTATATATATACAATGGAACAACTTGTGTTCTTATAACAATACCTTCAATCTTATTTTTCTTTACTAGGAAAATTGTATCATATCAGAGATCAAGATCTTGATAAAACTATTATTTCTAAATATATTTCTTTTATAGAATGTAATTATAATTAAATAACTGTCCAGATCAAGCAAAAAAAAAACAGAAGATAAGAAAGCGAAATTTAATGACACGTGGACAGTTTCGAGAGATGAGAAGAGAGGTTAAGTCTGTGTTTACCTTCGTGGACACCGAGGAAGTGTCCGATTCCGTGGCCGGTGCCGTGGCGGTAGTCTAGCCCCACCTCGTACAGCGGCCTGGCGGGAGAGATCATCACATGTGTGCATAGAGAACACCTCGTAATAACATGCCTGCAAACATATGACCAAACACACACACACACACTCACACATATGGCATAAAAGTGACGATGTTTTGGTCTGTCCTGGACCCTTATCGTCGGTCCTTCCTGGACCCTTATCCTCGGTCCCTCCTGGACTCTTATCCTCGGTCCCTCCTGGACTCTTATCCTCGGTCCCTCCTGGACCAATGATAAGTACATTAGACTGCCGACGGTTAGAAAGGCGGGGTCCAAGAGCTAACAGCTCGAATCTGCAGGCACACATAGTAAATACAACTAGTAAATACACACACGCACAACAAAAGACAGTACCTGCGCGCCAAAATGTCGACGTCGGTGTCTCCGGTGCCCTCGGGGAAGACCAGGCTGGCCAGGTCGATGGCGCCCATCAACACCCTGGTGTAGGCCTCCACCTGGAAGGGCGTCGGCTCCCCGTAGTGCATCGTCCGGGTCACGTCCGTCGTCCCGTCTAAAGCAGACAACATCATGAGACAGTTTGAGCATTAGTATCGTCAGACGATCTACAGGGGCGTCTATAGTAAGGATACATTGGTATCCCTCCTCCTGCTGCCTAGGAAACTTTACTTTTCTCCCGCCCCCCCCCCCCAACTGGAAGCCAGTAAGCATCAGGACTTCTACTCACCCTTGTACTGTCCACCAGTAAGACCCAGCACTTCTACTCACCCTTGTACTGTCCCCCACTGTCTACCAGATAGAGGGACTCTCTGGTAATCTCCAGGTTGGTGTCTTGGCGCGGCCGGTAATGGATGATGGCGCCGTTAGAACCAAAGGCGCTGATGGTGGGGAAGGAGAGCCCGACGAAGTGCTCCTGTTGACTCCGTAGCTCCAGGAGCTTGTCCGCCGCCCGGATCTCGTCGGTGAAGTTACCCGAAGTTATCTGACGACGGGGGAAGCAGGAGGAAAACCACCATTCAGTTGATAACCATGTTCGATATAGGTAGGGAAGGGAGCTATCAGGAGGGGAGCCGACAAGCTATCACGAGTATATAGCACTTGGAAGGGATCAGGATAAGGATTTTGAATAGAACTGGGGGGGGATGGTGCCCAAGAGATACCCAACACACACATTGAAAATACAGGAAGTGATGACTTTATAATGGTCCGTCCTGGGTCATTATAACTTTATAATGGTCCGTCTTGGATCATTATAAAGTCCTCACAATGATCCTGGACGGACCGAAATGTCGTCAGTGCTTTATTTCCAATGTTTAGCCATGTTATTGTGACTTTATTGTCTGCTATTGCTTTATTATCTGCTACAAACTATTGTCCCCATATTTCCTTTCGAGTACCCTTGATTTAATCCAACTTCAGATACCCTCTCCCCCCTCACACGACCACCCTCCTGATGCCGTCTATCTCTACCTTGCTGACACGTCTCTTACGAGGCACAGTTCCAAAAGCTTTGCTAAAGTTAAAGTAAACAACATTGAAATTCTTTCCACCATCAGCTGCTTTAAATATGCTGGAACAGAATGAGTAAATTTGTTTAAACATGAGTGGCCCTTAGTAAAACCAGGTTGTGAATTCTTAACTAAATAATCTATGCTTTTCAAGATATAAATAATAGCTTTTGTGATTAACGATTCTAGCTAATTAAACTAATTAGTCGATAGTTCGATGCAAGTGATCTACCTCTCATCTTAAAACTAGGCACCACATTAGCAACCCTCCACAATTTGGATAATCTACTCGATTAACTCTTTAAGATGCAAGACGAAGGAGCACTAAGCTTATCTCAACAATCTTCACGGACCCTGGGAACCTTAAAGTCTGGAGACCTACTGGACGTTAAGACTGAGGTCCTGTTGAATTTCAAGCTTGAGGACCTGATGGGCTCTCAGGCTCAGATATGAAGAACATAAGGCTTACAAGTTCCGGGGTAATTAAGCTGGTGGATGTCTGTTATATGAATCAACACTGAAGACTGTGGGTTACCTCCCTCTCCATGAAGGCCAGGAAGTCGCAGACGGCGACGGCGTCCCTGATGTGGGCCTTCTTCATCCCCAGCGTCTCCACCGGGTTCTTCCGCGCCTTCATTTGTAGCACAGGAGAAATCGTCATGAACCGCTTCTCCTCCGGTACCTACAGGAGGCAGGTGGAGGTTAGTCAGGGGTGATGGCGTTAACACGGCAGTCAGAATGGTGGTGGCCTGTCTCTAAGCCAGGCAGGCGACGGGCAGGTGATATGAGAGGGTTGTGCTCCATTAATATAGTCCCCCGTCTATATCTTAATTTAGAGTTCTCTGTAAATGGGTGAAGGCTTTGCAAGGTTTGTTTACTTGTACCGTCTCCACGCGTCCCTTCTCTGGCGAGTCGCTCTCCCATATCATCCTTCTATCATCCTAAAAGCTTAATATTTTATCATTTCAACTCATAACATCCTAATTAGTTAATTTTCACTGTCATCATCATATCACCCTAACTGGTTAGGGATTAAGTAGACGAACGAGAAAGTCAATCAATAGAGAATAAGAAAAATAGTCCGACAACTGAGTAGATGACTAGAAAATCAACAAGCGATCCACTGCCTCTCTCCCGCTCCCATCAACTTCATGCTAAAAACAATACCAATATTTGTTTAACGATGTCTGAACTATGTATTAGGACGATGAAGAGCACCAGACCACACGGGTCAGTTCATAAGGTGGCTCTGCTAGCCTATAGTGCCACAACATAGCCCAATAACACTTACTATGGCAAGGCAGCGAGTGCCTGTGGATTCTATTGAGCGTTTACAAACTCAACTAAACAGTAATGATAAGAGCAATGGTAAACTGGAGGCTTTAATGACAAAGAAAACGAGTCAATGCATCATGAAATCTCAAAACGTGATATATCTAGGAGAAAAATACTGAAGCTGTAAGATAGGATCGAACTCGCGTCTCTAGGCTCCCACAGGCACACGAGTCAATGGTAATACTTGCCGCGGAGTAGATGGCATAGGAGGCGCCGCCAGAGTAAGAGTACTTGGAGCCCAGCATGACTTTAGTGATCCCGTTGTTGAGTTTGAGGGCCCGAAGACGGTTGAGGATGGCAGAGTACTCGGTGATGCTGCGAGGGAGAGAGTAGTAGGCGGTCAGAGTAGGGAGGTGTTGCCATGTATGATGCCTCTCATACACACACACACACCAAACACCCGAAGCTCAACCCCCAGCAAGCACAAATACACACGCACGCACGCACATACACACACACACAGACGTTAGAAAGAATTTTTTCAGTGTCAGAGTAGTTAGTAAATGGAATGCATTAGGCAGTGATGTGGTGGAGGCTGACTCCATACACGTTTCAAATGTAGATATGATAGAGCCCAATAGGCTCTGGAATCTGTACACCAGTTGATTGACAGTTGACAGGCGGAACCAAAGAGACAAAGCTCAACCCCCGCAAGCACAAATAGGTGAATACAAATAAGTGAGTACACACACACATTTATTAGGCCTCGGGCTGAGTGGAAAGAGCTCTGGGGTCATAGTCCTAAGGGCCCGGGTTTGATCCCTGGCAGAGGCAGAAACAAATTGGCAGAGTTTCTTTCACCTAATGCCCCTGGTCATCCAGCAGTAAACTGGTACCCGGGAGTTAGGCAACTGTTGTGGGGTGCATCCTGGGGTGGGTCAGCAGTTCCACCTTGAAGGGACCTCGCATACAAACCTAAATATTATATATATACAGAGGCTTCCTGTCACAGACAACGGGAATTACTATTAAATAGGAACCCATTTCACTGTGTATTTCTGAATATAAAATTTTATGCAGTTATGCTCCAGGCTATTATCTACGTAACTGTCAACTACGGGAGGGTTGTTAAGGGTGTGAGCAGCAAGTATACTGTATACTCACAAACACTATCCAGGACTAAAGTAAACTCAGTGTATGTACACGGTGAAGCGAGGTACACCTCCCAGTGTACACACACCCCTCTTGAGGATCTTAACCACTGGCTACAATGACGAGGGGGCCACTAGTGCTAGTGGCCCCCTCAGGTAAATTCAGGTATATACAAATGCGAGTGAGGTGAGGATGGTGGATACTGACGTGACACACTCGTGCTCGCCGCACTGGTTCACGTTGAGGTGGTTGTCGACGGCCGGGGTGATCTTGCCGGAGGGTACGAACACCTCCACGTTGTTCCGTCCGATCATCACGTACGACCTGAACACTGGAAAATGATTCATTAATCCGTCTCTACTCACAGAAATCACACGAACGTGATATATAAATAACAATGAGAAAATCCACTTGGGCTGTGAGGGGGCGCGAACCCGCGACCAAGGCACTGCCAAGCCGCACACTCCACCACAGTGGTACAGTGGTAGAGTACGCGATTAGGTATGGTGCGAGTGCTTGCAAAACACACAACGTAACTGTCTCTATTTTCTGCTTGTTATAACTTGTAATAAAGTTGTTTCATTTTGTTATAACGTTTTTATGACGTATTAAAACCTTGTTACAACTTGTTTGAAGGTGTTAAAACTTGTTTGAACGTAGTAGCAACTTTGTAGTTTGGTCGTGTGTTTGGCTTGACAATAACTAACAAGCAGTCTCCGTGGTGTAGTGGTAAGACACTCGCCTGGCGTTCCGCGAGCGCTATGTCATGGGTTCGTATCCTGGCCGGGGAGGATTTACTGGGCGTAATTCCTTAACTGTAGCCTCTGTTTAACGCAACAGTAAAATGTGTACTTGGATGAAAAAACGATTCTTCGCGGCAGGGGATCGTATTCCAGGGACCATAGGATTAAGGACTTGCCCGAAACGCTACGCGTACTAGTGGCTGTACAAGAATGTAACAACTCTTGTATATATCTCAAAAAAAAAAAAAAAAAAAAAAAAAAACTTGGTGGCGGGTTCGAGCCGCCTCACAGCCCAAGTGGATTTTCTTAATCTTTCTCTACATTACTCCTTACCTTAAAGCTTAAATTATGTCAGGTAATCGCAAGAAAATATCAAATATTTGGAAACAATAATTTAGTGAGGATCTAAATTTTTGGAGGGAAATGAGAATTAAAAAATGGGGTAAACACTAAAAAGAATATAATTTAAAAAATGTTGTACAGAATTGTATATTAAACTTTATATTTAGGGTCCTTTAGTACAGTTGCTTTCGTTCTCGATTCACAATCGAGAATTCCGAGTTCGAATCCCGGGCGGGACAGAAATGGTTGGGCACATTACCCTTCACCTAGTGCCCCTGTTCACCTAGCAGTAAGTAGGTACTCAGGAGTTAGTCAGCTTGTTGTGGGGCTGCATCCTGGGCAGGGTCAATAAGCCGACCTTGGGGGGGGGGCGGAGGGTAAAGGGGATCTCGATAAAAGCCAAAACGTCTCTGACCACAATCTGGATTCATGTCCCCCGACACAATGAATATAGTCGAGTACAGTATGAAAGATTTATAGTTATTCACTAATTTGACATTTTCTCTTAGTATTCATAGAAAATTCAGTTAATAGGGTTAACTAAAGGAAAGTCATATATATGGTGAAAGTTTTACCCGTTTTTGTAATACTTATTTTAAAAGTATTGATATGTTTTCTAAAAATGAGGGGCCAGATTCACGAAAGCACTTACGCAAGCACTTACGAACGTGTACATCTTTCCTCAATCTTTGACGGCTTTGGTTACATTTATTAACCAGTTTACAAGCATGAAAACTTCCCATTCAACTGTTGTTATTGTTATAAACAGCCTCCTGGTGCTTCCGAGCTCATTAACTGTTTAATACTTGGAAATAAAGTCGCCAAAGATTGAGAAAAGATGTACACGTTCGTAAGTGTTTGCGTAAGTGCTTTCTACTGAATCTGGCCCCAGGTCTGCATGCTTGAATACAGAGGTCCAAATAGCGGCGCACCACAGATGTGTACAACTCAATATGCTATTGAATGTCATGATGTCACAAATGACAAAATTCTTAATATAACTAAAAACATTTTATGTATTAAAAAAGTTTTCTTCGTAACAAGTAATATTAACATGAGCAACGTCACTTCTTACTAATTTAAGAAATTAATTAACAAAACTCAATTACCTTGATTCTCTTTATTATTATTATTATTATTATTTAATGCTATCGCTACCTGCCACAAATCTAAGTGTAATCCAGTGGGAAATTATACATGAGATGACGTATGTTGCAGCCTAAAGAACGGAGCAGCTTCATGCGTATAAAAATAACTTCAAATATCAAACTTGGTTTACAGTAAACATTGGTAAGATGCACATCGTTCGTCGCAGGCCTGGCATAGCTGAGTATGGTATGTGGGGGTCAACATGGCCTGACATACGTGGGGTGTTGGGGTCAACATGGCCTGACATAACTGGGGTGTTGGGGGGTCAACATGGCCTGACATACCTGGAGTGTTGGGGGGTCAACATGGCCTGACATACCTGGGGTGTTGGGGGGTCAACATGGCCTGACATACCTGGAGTGTTGGGGGGTCAACATAGCCTGACATACCTGGGGTGTTGGGGGGTCAACATGGCCTGACATACCTGGGGTGTTGGGGGGTCAACATGGCCTGACATACCTGGAGTGTTGGGGGGTCAACATAGCCTGACATACCTGGGGTGTTGGGGGGTCAACATGGCCTGACATACCTGGGGTGTTGGAGGGTCAACATGGCCTGACATACCTGGGGTGTTGGGGGTCAACATAGCCTGACATACCTGGGGTGTTGGGGGTCAACATGGCCTGACATACCTGGGGTGTTGGGGGGGTCAACATGGCCTGACATACCTGGGGTGTTGGGGGTCAACATGGCCTGACATACCTGGAGTGTTGGGGGTCAACATGGCCTGACATACCTGGGGTGTTGGGGGTCAACATAGCCTGACATACCTGGAGTGTTGGGGGTCAACATGGCCTGACATACCTGGAGTGTTGGGGGTCAACATAGCCTGACATACATGGAGTGTTGGGGGTCAACATAGCCTGACATACCTGGGGTGTTGGGGGTCAACATAGCCTGACATACCTGGAGTGTTGGGGGTCAACATAGCCTGACATACCTGGGGTGTTGGGGGTCAACATAGCCTGACATACCTGGGGTGTTGGGGGTCAACATGGCCTGACATACCTGGGGTGTTGGGGTCGTCGCTGCCCCGTAAGTTGAGGAGCCAAGCCACTTCGTCTGGAGCGGTGATGACGAATATGTCGGCTCCCTGCTTTTCCATCTCTGCTCTCACCTCAGCCACCTTGTCCTCCCATTTCTTACCTGTCTCGTACACAAACACAGCCACATAAACACCCACAGCAGTGTACACAAACACAGCCACATAAACACCCACAGCAGTGTACACAAACACAGCCACATAAACACCCAACATAGGCCAACATACGAACGGCATTCAGAAACTTGTGTAAAGAATCATTCAGAACTTTGTATACCACATATGTCAGGCCAATCCTGGAGTATGCAGCCCCAGCATGGAGTCCATATCTAGTCAAGGATAAGACTAAACTGGAAAAGGTTCAAAGGTTTGCCACCAGACTAGTACCCGAGCTGAGAGGTATGAGCTACGAGGAGAGACTACGGGAATTAAACCTCACTTCGCTGGAAGACAGAAGAGTTAGGGGGGATATGATCACCACATTCAAGATTCTGAAGGGGATTGATAGGGTAGATAAAGACAGTCTATTTAACACAAGGGGAACACGCACAAGGGGACACAGGTGGAAACTGAGTGCCCAAATGAGCCACAGAGATATTAGAAAGAACTTTTTTAGTGTCAGAGTGGTTGACAAATGGAATGCATTAGGGGGTGATGTGGTGGAGGCTCACTCCATACACAGTTTCAAGTGTAGATATGACAGAGCCCGATAGGCTCAGGAATCTGTACACCTGTTGATTGACGGTTGAGAGGCGGGACCAAAGAGCCAGAGCTCAACCCCCGCAAACACAACTAGGTGAGTACAACTAGGTGAGTACCCACAGCAGTGTACACAAACACAGCCACATAAACACCCACAGCAGAGTACACAAACACAGCCACATAAACACCCACAGCAGTGTACACAAACACAGGCACATAAACACCCACAGCAGTGTACACAAACACAGCCACATAAACACCCACAACAGTGTACACAAACACAGCCACATAAACACCCACAACAGTGTACACAAACACAGCCACATAAACACCCACAGCAGTGTACACAAACATTCATGCTCCAACACAAGTATTTTGTTTTTGTTTTTTTTATTTATTTTCTACCAGATATATGGCCATACATTTACAATGGCAATTAGCATATATATGAATTTTCTTCTGTCCTCCATGGGCAGTGTTAGAGATCTGTTAGCCAACATACAGTATAGTGTTGTGAGGTATTGAGCAATTAGTCACTGAAGGTGATTGTAGTGCATTAACAAAAATAATAGATCTGTGGTACTTTTATAATGAAAGTTATTCAAGATTAAAACTATTCTATACCCAAAATTACTATTATAAATTATCAATCTAAACCACAGTGAATTTTAGCCGTAGATTCCATGCACTAGGTTCTATGCATGCAAATTTCTTTGATAAAAATTAGCACACACGTTATATACAAAAGCACTATAAGATCCGCCTGCATATGTTATATCTTTAAAACTCTTAGGCCTAAGCTGTGATACCAGCAGTCAGGACCTCAATTATGGAAAAGGGCTGCGCCATGACTCTCACACACACACAGACATACACACACACAGACATACACACACACACACACACACACACACACACACACACACACACACACACACACACACACACACACACACACACACACACACACACACACACTAACCACCAGGCTGCAGAATTACACAAAACTACTTACAACTTCTTAAACTTTAGTAAATAAAAAAGAAACATAACATATATTCTTAATATAATATTAGTATTGAAAGCAGAACATGAATAAACATGCTTTTCCTTAAAATTAAGACCATTGTAGAACGAAATAAGGCGAATATATGTATGTTGATGATGGACAAGTTGATGATATGGGGCTCCGTCACTGCCTTTGGCACCACGTCATCTATTTTGATCTATTTTGTTATTAAGTGGGGCGACCTGTGACAAGCCGTCGGCTTCCTGTTCCTGACAAGGCTTAGTAGCCTTGTCAGGAACAGGAACAGGAGATAGTGGCCCTCAGATAATTCTGATCAAATGACCTCGTTTACTAGTAAATTATGTTTATTCACGTTCAACATTCATAACTAATATTACAGCAATATATTTTTATTTGTTCGTCTTTCACTATCTTCATATACATTCATGATGACACTCGCCTGCGAAATGGAGCTCGTGTATGTAGATGGGGTCGTCGACGAAGGCTGCCCTCTCCCTTGAGGGCCATATTAGGTCCACCAGATTGGTTTCCTCTGCTACCAGCTCGATGCCTGACTCTGAGGGATGGGTTTAATGTTCTTAACCATTATTATGATTATCATTACCATTAGTAATACCATTAGCTCATTTGTAATCGATTAGTTTTGTATTATATAAATAAGTTGAGTGAAGATTATACAAATTAGACTGCATGCAGGCGATGAGTCACAATAACGTGGCTGAAGAATGTTGACCAGACCACACACTACAAGGTGGAGGGACGACGACGTTTCGGTCCGTCCTGGACCATTCCCAAGTCGATTATCGACTTGAGAATGGTCCAGGACGGACCGAAACGTCGTCGTCCCTTCACCTTCGAGTGTGTGGTCTGGTCAACAGATTAAGACTGTATTATACTCTTACTCTCAAGTTCCTGGGCGTAATTCTTCCAGGTGTCTGAGGCTATGAGCCTGGGGTCGGCGCCCACTTTGGCACCACTTGTTAGCTTCTCTCTCAGCCACTCTGTAATCGTTGGCACCTGCCGGCAAGGTGCACCAACACAATGTCAAAGTGGATGAATAATTTATGTGCCCATTAACCTGTCAGCAGTCAAGCGCATTCATTAAAACAACTCATTAAGATTTATTGTACCACAAGCTTTCGGGCACCTCTTAAGGTCACAAATGGTTTATACTTAAGATGATTTTTGAGCAAATGAGCAAACAACTGTGAAACTGTGGCTGTACAAGGATAGCCAAGTGCAGAACACATCAAGGATAACCAAGCGCTCACCCCATCAAGCTGCTCTTTCATGAGCAACCAATCACAGTCGAGTTCGCTGTCAGCTTGGAGGAAGTATCGACCATCCGTCCAGAGCGCCTGGTGCTCCGCCGTCACCACCACCTCCCCCGAGCCTCCACTGAACCCCGAGACGTACTGGAGACGCCGCTCCGCGTCTGCTTCGTAACCGTCCTTCGGGGAGACGGAGGGAAGGTGCTTTATCAACTTGGAGGGGTAAGTTATGTTGGTTATCAACTTGGAGGGGTAAGTTATGGTGGGTATCAACTTGGAGGGGTAAATTATGTTGGTTATCAGCTTGGAGGGGTAAGTTATGGTGGTTATCAACTTAGAGGGGTAAGTTATGGTGGTTATCAACTTGCAGGGGTAAGTTATGTTGGGTATCAACTTGGAGGGGTAAGTTATGTTGGTTATCAACTTAGAGGGGTAAGTTATGTTGGTTATCAACTTGGAGGGGTAAATTATGTTGGTTATCAACTTGGAGGGGTAAGTTATGTTGGTTATCAACTTGGAGGGGTAAGTTATGTTGGTTATCAACTTGGAGGGGTAAATTATGTTGGTTATCAACTTGGAGGGGTAAATTATGTTGGTTATCAACTTGGAGGGGTAAGTTATGTTGGTTATCAACTTGGAGGGGTAAGTTATGTTGGTTATCAACTTGGAGGGGTAAATTATGTTGGTTATCAACTTGGAGGGGTAAGTTATGTTGGTTATCAACTTGGAGGGGTAAGTTATGTTGGTTATCAACTTGGAGGGGTAAGTTATGTTGGTTATCAACTTGGAGGGGTAAATTATGGTGGTTATCAACTTGGAGGGGTAAATTATGGTGGTTATCAACTTGAAGGGGTAAGTTATGGTGGTTATCAACTTGAAGGGGGTAAGTTATGGTGGTTATCAACTTGGAGGGGTAAGTTATGTTGGGTATCAACTTGGAGGGGTAAATTATGGTGGTTATCAACTTGGAGGGGTAAATTATGGTGGTTATCAACTTGAAGGGGGTAAGTTATGGTGGTTATCAACTTGGAGGGGTAAGTTATGTTGGGTATCAACTTGGAGGGGTAAATTATGTTGGTTATCAACTTGGAGTGTTCAAGATGTGATTATCAACTTATAGTGATCAAGATGTGATTATCAACTTGAAGCGTTTTTCAATACACTTGAAAAAAAATCAATTTTTGACAAGTGTTATCATGTTATCATGTACTGATAACTAGTGTGGCCGGATTGTTTTAAATTGGTACTTGATGTAGCTCATTCAAGTGAGTTAGTCACCAAAGTTATATAACTTCACTCTATAATAACTAGGTATATATTGTATTATGCTGAGTTATTGTATTAAAATGCAACAGAGGAATTTAAGAAGACATTTTATCAGAATTTACAGACAGTGAAGGAGACTCAATAAGTGATATTTATTCACTGTCCGGAAAAAACATAAAAATAGAAGAAATATATAATGTAAAAATATTATAATGCCATAAACAAACAAACACACACACACACATTACATATATATATATATATATATATATATATATATATATATATATATATATATATATATATATATATATATATACACACACGCTAAGAAACCAACCTACCTGCTCGCCGGACATAGGGATGATGTAGGCGTCCAGCCGGTGGTTGACCATCTCTTGTCGCAGCATCCTCACCCTGGTGGCAGGACAAGGCTATATAGTCATAGCCGGAAAGATAATAACTGTGTGTGTGTGTGTGTGTGTGTGTGTGTGTGTGTGTGTGTGTGTGTGTGTGTGTGTGTGTGTGTGTGTGTGTGTGTGTGCGTCTATATTTTAAAGTATGAACATTGCATCCTTAGGAGGATGGAAGACAGAATGGGTGACATCGATGCCCACGATACTTTATATCTCCTCATTAAATGCCTATCCCTTCCGAGGCTAACCTACTTTATGAGGTGCACTCCATCTTACGACAGCCGAAAGCTTGAAGAGTATGACCTCTTACTGAAGACCATGCTAGAAAAAGTTGTTAACCTCTCCCTCAACGAATGCCATTGGAAACAAGCCACTCTTTCTGTCAGGCTCTGTGGCTTGGGTGTCCGCACCGCCACCCAAATTGCTGTCCCAGCCTTCCTGTCTTCCTCCTCAGCATCAGATGACCTGGTTAAGGAAATTCTACCTGACACCCTGAGTGATGTAGCGGGGATACAGGACCCCCACTACATGGAATGCGACACAAAATGGGGTGCCATGGCAGACCCAGCACTCAGACCAGACATGCCAAAAGTCAAGAAACAATCCAGCTGGGACAACTCCATTGTAGACAAAGAAGCCACAGCTTTTCTGGAGGCAGCAACAACCCCCAGTGATCGTGCACGCCTCACAGCTGTGCAGGCTCCCCATGCAGGGGACTTCCTTTTGGCAGTCCCTATGTCTACGACAAGCACACGTCTTGAACTGCAGGAGCTCCATATTGCAATCGCTCTCCGCCTTGCTGCCCCTATCCACACTGTTCATAAGTGTATTTATGGCGAGGCAGATGCTGACGATTATGGATTGCACGGCCTGCACTGTGGAAAATCTGGTGGTTGGCACACTAGACACGACGAAGTCAATGACATCATTAAAAGAAGCCTTGCCTCTGCTCAGTGTCCAGCAGAGAGAAAGCCCCGCAACCTATTGAACCGTGACTCTATTAGCTTTGGCGGCCGACCAGACGGATTCATACTGCACCTGTGGAAGGGTAGCATACAGTTGGCATGGGACTATACTTGCGTATCCACCCTGGCAACCATATACATCAACCTCTCTGACGGCCAAGCAGGAGCCACGGCGACACACAGAGAAAGATACAAGTCAGCCAAGTACAGGAAATTAGATCATCCGTACAACTTCGTTCCAATAGGGTCTGAGACCCTAGGCCCATGGGAAGAGAGTGCAAGAAGGTTTCTTAAGGATCTTGGTTCCAAGCTCATTGACACTACAAGAGACCCTAGAGCGGCAAGTTTTCTCTTTCAGCACCTCAGTGTCGCAATGCAGAGGGGGAATGCCCGCTGCGTCCTCGGTTCCTGCCCGGTGTCGGAGGAGTTCGAGGAAATCTACAGCCTTTAGGAAGCGAACTTTTTGTTGTGTCCTCTTAATGTTCATTTTTTGTATAAAATCAGATATGTGTAACTGTATAACATTGCATAATAAAATGTACCCTATAAAAAAAGGGGTGGTGGTAGGAGAAGCGAACTCTCATACGTATTCAGAGTTAAAGGGCAAGTTTTTCTCTGAATGCTCTGTGTTCCCTTCTTTGAGGCTGTGCGTCCCTATAATTGCACCAGAGGTGGTACCCCCTATATATATATATATCCTATCCCTGACAAAATAAATTAATTAAATACATATTGTCATTTGAATGCTATAATTGTCCCAAGTTCATAAAAAATTCTAGTATTTATGTATATAAATCAAAGTATCCACGTGTTTACTACTAACTGGGTAGAGGTGTTGACGCGGACATCCGACTGGTGGTGTGCGCTACAGAGCGTCCTCTGGCCTACGTTCACCTCCGGGGCCGCCTCTCTCTTCCCTGACTGCAGACTTGCGCGTGTTATTAGTTCCTCTGGTTCTGTGGGATCAGTGAATGCTGTTAGTTGTCCTCTTCAGGCATTGATGCTTCCGATGCTATTGCATATTGTTATTATTATTATCCATACCTAAGAACAAGTGTTTATGTCTTAAAGTAGTTAGGAAACTATTTCAAGACTATAGCTTCATAAAATTTAAGTCGGACATGAATTCACAAATTTTATGTTATTAAGGCATTTTTGTTAAATATTATCAGCACGTAAGCATTTTATGTCTTAGTTGCATATTTCTCAGAGTATATTATTTTATTATTGCAAATAAAAGGTTGAAGCCAATAGCTTATCATCAGGTATATTAATGTAGTGATTAGGAACAAAACTCCACAGGTTATTTGAGTGAGGATCTATCCATGCTTGGATACAAATACTCTTATAAAGAAGCACTAAAAGCTACAGGGAACACTTACTAAGTGTGTGTGAAGAAATAACCTAAGTTTTGTGAAATAAACAAATAATACACTTGGAAAGTTGATATTTCTAATAAAGAAATGGCAGAAATAATTTGCAAGAAACTGAATGAAAAACAACAACCAACAAATTGATGCATCAACAACATTGTTGTTGAAACATCAATAACCTAATATTGATGCAGACGTATACAACAGTAATAAAGTGAAAAATAAGCATATGGCAAGAAGTTTACAAAAACCTGTTCAAAATACAAAGATAACCAAATGGAAATAATATTATATACAATGAATAGCTTTAATACAACTAATTATATAAAAGCCTGTAAAAAAGCTAAGCGGCCATATAGTTCAGTGTTTCAGAGAACACCATACTGATCTTTTGAGGAATAAGGAGTAGGATGATTACAGAAAAATATCGAAAAACAATAACGGTATATTATCTTTTACACAACATACAGCCGCAACACACAGGACAGGGAAGGCAATCAAGCCATAACATACACATTTAAATGTACCACTTTTTTATATCCCTCTATATCCCACAAAACAATTATAACTGAAAATAATTCTTTTCAAGTCCAATGGTATGCCCTTAAACCCGTATTACACTTTCCTAAACTTGGCTTCTATTGTCTGTGTACAAGTTAAAATATTGTTAACATTTGTTAACTGATCTATCAAAGAGGCGAAAACAGATAATTACAAGAATGAACAAATATAACATAAACAGAACCAGAGTCTCATGCAAAATTTGGCTAGCTTGTGCATTCCATACTCAAGAAAAACTGTGCAGAGAAACTTGATGAATAAAGAGAGTGAGAGATCACGTACTGGGTTTACTTACAGTCTTGAGTTCATCCAGCCTCCCTCAGAGACGGGGCTCACGATCTAATATTGAACACTGAACCATAGAATTGCATAGACTTCTGTATCCTAGTTCTGTGGCATAACATCATTACAATGACCAATCAAGTTTCCTCTGTGTTCACCACATAAACATTTAAAATAGCTCATATCTCTTGAAACAGACATGTAATATTAATTTTCTTGCTCATATTATAATATAAGGTGCTCAATTCTCCACACTTCCAACAGTATTCACAAGACAAATGTTGTGTGGCACTTATCAACTATTAGAGGAAGATTAGCACTTAGCGGTCTGCTAACTCGCTGTGTAAATATGATCCCTCTCCATAGATTTAGGAAAATAAACATAACTGATCCTTTTCCATCAGGTATTTTGCAGAGCAAAGAAAGATGCGCACAGGCTGAGCAGTTATCGTCTCGAGTCATAGGATAGTTGGCCAAAGGGATTTGTGGATGGTCCCCTGATAACCTCTGCTCACACTCTGCTCTTGTGCTAAAAATAATGGAAGATTTTTCGCAAATTTCGAGATTGGATCACACGTTTTAGCGTCATGGGAACGTTTACTATCAAAGCAGAGATGACAGGTTTTAGCGTCATCGGAACATTAAAGTGTATAAATTAAGGCCACCCAAAATTCTTACTGACAAACGAACAATTGTACTTTAGTCCTGAACATAATTAAGGACTAAAATAAACTAGATGAATATACACCGAGAAAACTAATATATACCTCTCATAATAAATGAACTAAACTAAACAAAATATCTTATCGGTGTATATAACAGAGTCGTAAATATCTTCAAGTGTGCAATAACTGCACTTTACACAAAAAGTGTATTTGTATTGAAGAGTTCAGATTATTAATGTCTTTATGCCTAGGCAAGACATGAAGTCACTGTAAGCATACGTTGCACTTCAACATTTAATGAATGAATGCAATGCAGATCTGTATTTTCAGTTAATACAATATATGGGTTACTATTATATATTGTATTTAGGTCAAAGCCCCATATTTTGGTGTATATTGTGTAATTTATTACTACACTTTAATTTAAATAAGCCTTCCTGCATTATACATAATATTATACTATAATTATCATCAACCGCTGATAACATCCAGTAAACTAATATACAAGAAACATTACAAAAGGCTCCAAAAGATTTAGAAGTTTATTAATACAAACTGACTTTCATTCTCCACATACTAATTGTAAAAACATTCGTGGTTACAAAGGTGATGGCTGCTACCTCAGTTTACACTTATTTACAAACACTAAGTTTACAGGGTTTACTGCAGAGGCGATTGTTTCCACCTGTAGTCGTGCTCTACTCTTATGGTCAATTTTGTTTTTACAAATTAAGATACAAGTTATCACTAAAATCTAGATCACAAGTTCTGGAATACCTCCCCATATATATATATATATATATATATATATATATATATATATATATATATATATATATATATATATATATATATATATATATATATATATATATATATATATATATATATATATATATATATATATATATATATATATATATATATATATATATATATATATATATATATATATATATATATATATATATATATATATATATATATATATATATATATATATATATATATATATATATATATATATATATATATATATATATATATATATATATATACCTTTTTGAAATTCTGCTTGATATGTGGCTTATTATAATGTTATTAAAGATAACCCAATTTTGATAATATACACATGTAAAATTGCATAATATCTGATATATAAAATATATAATGCCGTAAAATATTACAGACATTAACTTGAAGTACTCACATTAATGCCTCACACACTCACACTAAGAAAAACATGAAAACTCCATTTAAGTATTTAAGCTCGAAACTGTACTGGACCTAAACAATAGACCTTCGTATGAACCTTCACATGGAATAATACTGGAGCATGAACCGTCACATGGGATAATACTGAAGTATGAACCTTCACATGGGATAATACTGAAGTATGAACCTTCACATGGGATAATACTGGAGTATGAACCGTCACATGGGATAATACTGGAGTATGAACCGTCACATGGGATAATACTGAAGTATGAACCTTCACATGGGATAATACTGGAGTATGAACCGTCACATGGGATAATACTGAAGTATTCACCGTCACATGGGATAATACTGGAGTATAGGCTGATCATTGTAACACAATACAGCCCCGTATAATTTAACATTAACATAGCCTCAATTGACCATCGAGTGCAGTCGGGAGATTGGGTTAAAAGTCTTACGACTTCCAACCTTTTTTTGTACAGTCAGTATGGTCTAGTTGGTATAGTACAAAATACGCTGAGGTTCATGGAGCCCTGGCTGTCTAGGTTCGAATCCTTCAGGAGTGAGGAGTTTTCAGTTGCATTTTTGCTTGGGGACCTTTCAAGCTTGTTTGCATATATATATATATATATATATATATATATATATATATATATATATATATATATATATATATATATATATATATGCATATATGTTTGCATATATAGATAAATGGAATACTATAAGACCTTTGAAACATTGTTAACGTTCTATATATTGTTAACTATCACTGGAAATACCACATTAATATAATTCAAGATCCTGAAGTACTCTAACAAGCCATTTAGATCCTTTAAATAATGTAATGATCTATATAAATGTGTTACGATTGAAGCCTCCACATCAAAGTCTTCTAAATCCTTAGGAATGGTATTGGTCAGTACAGTCACGTTGGTCAATATCGTGTTGATAATATCGTCATATATACAACTTTTCACATTGTGCTAAGAGCTAGGTGTCTTCTACAAATACTGTATTTGCCACAAGGAAAATAGTGTAGGAAATAATTAAGATTAATAACACACGCACCCATATAAAGAACAACTTGTCCTCAGACTAGGCTCGTTAAAGCAGCGGCCCGCCCTAGAAGCGAATTCATCAATTTGAACAACAATGCGTATTTAAATATTGTATTTTTTCAAATATGCATTAATATTGTTTCAGACTAGGGTGTGTTGAATAGTTTGGCCTACGTGGTTAGGTTCTTTTCAATTATTTGCATTTGCTGCGGGTTGATGAAGCATTCAGAGAGGTGGGATTCGAGCAGAGGACGTGAACGAAGCACTGCTCGAGAAACGTACACACGTCATCAGTTGTGAGTCGCGTGTGGAGTGTCTTACATTCAAGAACAGAGGGTTTGGCGGGTGGTTTAACGAGCATTTGGTCTGTGTTGACGAGGACAGGTTGGAAATGAAAGTGCCGACGTTTCAGACCGTCCCGGACCCTCTTCAAGTCGTGATATGCAGGTACAAGACGGACCGAAACGTCGTCACGTTCATTTGACTTATGTGTTGGGTTTATTTGTCTCACCCACGTTGGTGTGACTTGCTTTCTGCAACTGAGATTTCTTCATTTCATCTACTTATTTTCAGGCACTTAATTCCATCTCTCAAAATTAAATCAAGCTAATTACAAGGTAAGTAGAGTCTGGTGGACATTACAAGGTAAGTAGTGTCTGGTGGACATTACAAGGTAAGTAGTGTCTGGTGGACATTACAAGGTAAGTAGTGTCTGGTGGACATTACAAGGTAAGTAGAGTCTGGTGGACATTACAAGGTAAGTAGTGTCTGGTGGATATAGCACCACTACGACCTACCTGTACAAAAGATAAACTAAGGTGCGCTTGTGTGCAAAACGTACTTAAAATACGAATATAACAATGTCTAAATGAACTTATGTATTGACCTCTCTGCTCTACGAGGCTGATGGCTATCAAAACACTGTAAGTTACTACCACCACTGTATCAATTTACCTTATACCAAACATATAATTGAAGTGATGATAGCTACACTTACGACTTCCAGAATAGTTGAAGTTTCTGTTTTTACTTTTGCTCTCTACAGAGTATACTTCCTTGACCAGACCACACACTAGAAGGTGAAGGGACGACGACGTTTCGGTCCGTCCTGGACCATTCTCAAGTCGATTGTGACTTGAGAATGGTCCAGGACGGACCAAAACGTTGTCGTCCCTTCACCTTCTAGTGGGTGGTCTGGTCAACTTTCTTTAGCCACGTTATTGTGACTCATCGCCTGTATACTTCTTGAAACTATAGAGCAGGTAGACTATGTCTAATTGATATGTAACATTGCATACACGTTATGACAGTGTAAATTAGCGCACCTCATGCGAACTAATATTTTGTTAAATTCACGGTTCACTTCCATATTCTTATGTTTAGTCGTAACAATAAAAACATCGGCAGCAGACTAGTAACTAGCCCATACGAGGCAGCTTCTCTTTAATGTCAACTATTCCCGCAAAATTTTCAAGACCGATGGTGGAACATTTTGAGGTTCCTTCTACGACACTACTTGGTACTTGTTAAACAGGTTTGTAACCTTATTTCCAAATCAGTGACTGCCTAGTTATTGTCCAAATCTAAATTCCTCCAATTTCAATGTATTGTTTCGTGTACAGTATTATGCTGACAGCTTCAGCATTATATTTATATCTCTCTTGGTCAATCTTTTCCACCATAAGTACAATACCATCATGTCCCTAAAATCCCCTCCCCCCCCCCCATTAATTAATGGCATTTTTCTTTTGTACATAGATATTCGTATATGACGAAAGTTTCATTTCGCTCTTGATTTATTTCTCCACTCTGATAATTATACAACAAAAATACAGCTGCACAGAGTAACACGCTTGTGTATAATGGCAATAACTTTGCAAAATACTGTTTTTTTCAGTCACAAGAGAATCTTGTGAAGAATTGTATCATTAGGGAAGTCTTTGGTTCATGATGCATTACAAAATAGTAAACCTATATACAGAGACGCCAATCCTGTGACCATGTAAATACTCACATGTCAAATATATACAATATAACGATTGAAAAGAACGATTTAAGAAGGTTTATATCTCTGCTCAAGGCAGATATATAAACCTAATTGCAGAAAAATTATGAATAAATCTCTAATACGCGAACTAATATTTATATTATACCATATCTCCCGGGTTATTATTCGCCCTGTACAATTAGTTACATCTTTTTCACACATTAATTTAAATGCTTCACAACTTTCTTATCAATATTAGAACATAGATTTACGAAATATATTATGATACATTTCAAAACTTATATTATTATATAAATAAACTCTATGCACATAATCTGCAACTTCTGGTGGTTACACAAGCTAACTACAGCGTCTTGAAGAGCAGCACTGTTCATCACTGCAACATTGTAACCTTAAGGTCTCCTGCCTCAAGAGCAGCACTTCATTTCACTCACTTAGGCACTAGGAGACTCGAACATCTTACCCTGCGGTGTGAGGCGGAAGCTCTTCCCCTGAGCTACCTGGGAGGCCCAATAGGAAATGTTTCAGAGGTAAAAAAAAACCTGCCTAACTGAAATGTTAGTTTAGAGTTCTCCTTATATACAGTCTTAGTCTCCTAGTGCCTAAGTGAATGAACTGTTTATTTTTAGAATAGTGTGGTTGATAATATATAAAAGCAACACTGTTCATCACTGCACCATGGTAACCTTAAGGCCTGTCGCTGCCACTAACAGCAGCACCACTACCAGAGAGGCATCAAACACTGCTCCCTCTGAGCTAACTGCACTACCAAGGCCCACAACGGAGAGGGCGGCCATGGTGTCTGTGGGTGACTTGCCTGGGGAGCCGTTGTGGTGGAGGCTCACGCAGGGAATGGGCTCAGTCTTCGCCAGGAGCCACTCGTAGCCTTGTCGGCGATCCTGTTGCAACATTTCCTGCCCGACGACGTTCCTCACGCGGGAGTGGTATGCGTTCAGCCACTCACACTGTAACGTACAGTTATAATAGCAACTTTTGCACGAAAAAAAAAATAATATGAGAATAATAATAATATATATATATATATATATATATATATATATATATATATATATATATATATATATATATATATATATATATATATATATATATATATATATATATATATATATATATATATATATATATATATATAAAATCATGCTCTAAACATATAGGATTAACAGGATCAACGTGGATTCATATATCAAAGTCGCTTACCAGGGAGTTGACACCTTGTATCATACAATGTTTACCAGTCTTAAAAAAAAAGCTACAACCACAACAGTGATTAAAGTTTTTTATTAAAAATTCAGCACCGCTACTTTACTTAATAACAATGAAAATGACAAATACAAAGGCGTGATATGAAGCAAGCTAATACTATTTCAAGCTAAAATGATAGAATTTGACCAAATTAAAGTTAAGGAATACAGAATGTTTTACCTGCTTGCTGGTCAACATGGTGATGTTGATGAGGTTAGGCTCGAACGGCACCAGAGTAACAGTCTCAAATCCCAGTGACCTCTTATCAAAATGATACTGTGGAAAATATATTTTGCCATTAATTTAATATATACATATATATATATATGACAGTGTCAAACCACGGAGGAAGAATTGAAACAGGAATTTACTTAAGTACTTTCGTATATTAATACATCTTCAGAAGGCGAAAGTACGAAAGTACTTAAGGAAATTCCTGTTTCAATTCTTCCTCCATGGTCTGACACTGTCACATTTTTAATCGCATGTTAATTTTCGTGATTTACACACACACACACACACACACACACACACACACACACATATATATATATATATATATATATATATATATATATATATATATATATATATATATATATATATATATATATATATATATATATATATATATATATATATATATATATATATATATATATATATATATACATATATATATACAGTATATATATATATATATATATGTCGTACCTAGTAGCCAGAACGCACTTATCAGCCTACTATGCAAGGCCAAATTTGCCTAATAAGCCAAGTTTTCATGAATTAATTGTTTTTCGACTACCTAACCTACCTAACCTAACCTAACCTAACTTTTTCGGCTACCTAACCTAACCTAACCTATAAAGATAGGTTAGGTAGGGTTGGTTAGGTTCGAGCATATATCTACGTTAATTTTAACTCCAATAAAAAAAAAATTATCTCATACATAATGAAATAGGTAGCTTTATCATTTCATAAGAAAAAAATTAGAGAAAATGTATTAATTAAGGAAAACTTGGCTTATTAAGCAAATCGGGCCTTGCATAGTAGGCTGATAAGTGCGTTCTGGCTACTAGGTACGACATATATATATATATATATATATATATATATATATATATATATATATATATATATATATATATACATATATTTTATACATTTTATAGTTTTACTAAGTATTAGATTAATATTGTCATTATAAACACACAAGATATAGCTGACCTATAGACCTTAAAACAAGCCTTAAACATTTAACATATATTAGGGTCTATGTGAGCTAAAACAATCATTTGTCTCGTGTATAATCATTGACATTAAATCACCACAATACATTTTTGACGTTAAAACAAAAATCTTGAGAATCCGATCTCTCAGATCGTATAAAACAGTTATGGCACTTAACTTAATAAAGAACAGACTTTAATTGTTGATAAAGTTGCACATGGTGTGGCTTTATAAAATATAGAAATAATCAAGTTCACACCGAAAAAAACTTTACCTAATATTAAAGCCGTCTCTCCTTTTTTTCCACAATAAAATTTTATATAAAAAAGTTAGGATTTAAAATATGTTTTCTTTACTTCATATTAGCATCATTGGCACTAATGGTTGACCATTATCAACATAACTATTAGCACTAATGCTAATGGTTGATAATGGTTGGCCATCATCAACATAACCATTATCACTAATGTTTGACCATCGTCAACATAACTATTAGCACTAATGCTAATGGTTGATAATGGTTAGCCATCATCAACATAACCATTAGCACTAATGGTTGACCATCATCAACATACTGGAGTGTCCTTGGGAACGACAGCGAGGATAGTCTCCAAACGGATGCCAAAGTCGTTATCCTGGTAGTACCCCGGCTCTGTCAAGAAGCAAGGAGGGAGGGAGGAGGTTACTTCCTGATCTTAAGTATCCTTTCTTAACCATATTTGTTCTCTTCACACATTAAATAATACCGAAGCTAATAACGTTATGATTAAAATTCAAGTTTCACACTGGAGTCTACGGTAAACTTGATTACCAAACAGCTGAAGATCATTTGACTATCTTTACAATTTGAAGATTACAGTGCTTACAGGAAAGGAACTTAATTAATAATTAGTTGAAGAGCTTTAATCAGCGTTTTGTGTTATAATGATCATCTAAAGTTTACTTTTTTTTGCAATTATTCATAGAAAATATGGTACTTGATATAACTTAATACATACAATACTTGTTTCATTACTGACATGTTACCAGGAGCAGGCAGTAAGGTGATAGATGGCTCATATAAGAATCTAATTAAGCTTTAAGGTAAAACAATATAAGGCAAGTTCATGAAGGCTAATGCACTTCCCACAAACTAGTCTCCTCAGTCAAAGTAGGTCTGCATAACCAAAATAAGTTTCCTCAGTCAAAATCTGCTCAGTCAAACTAGGTCTGCTCGGTCAAACTAGGTCTCCTGGGTCAAACTAGGGGTCCTCGGTCAAACTAGGTCTGCTGGGTCAAACTAGGGGTCCTCGGTCAAACTAATTTTCTCGGTCAAAGTAGGGATGGACTACTTACCAAGAGATCCGTGGAAGTTAATCTGATATTTCGTCTCAAAAGCTAAAAGGAAGAGTAAGAAGAATTACAAGCTCTGCTTCACACACTCCAAATAAGTAACATCAGCATGCAGTGCCAGAAGAATCCAGTATAGGGTGTTGAGAGACAATACTACACTGATAGACAGTAGGGTGTTGAGAGACAATACAAGACACTGATAGACAGTAGGGTGTTGAGAGACAATACAACACTGATAGACAGTAGGGTGTTGAGAGACAATACAACACTGATAGACAGTAGGGTGTTGAGAGACAATACAAGACACTGATAGACAGTAGGGTGTTGGGAGACAATACAACACTGATAGACAGTAGGGTGTTGGGAGACAATACAACACTGATAGACAGTAGGGTGTTGAGAGACAATACAAGACACTGATAGACAGTAGGGTGTTGAGAGACAATACAACACTGATAGACAGTAGGGTGTTGAGAGACAATACAACACTGATAGACAGTAGGGTGTTGAGAGACAATACAAGACACTGATAGACAGTAGGGTGTTGAGAGACAATACAACACTGATAGACAGTAGGGTGTTGAGAGACAATACAACACTGATAGACAGTAGGGTGTTGAGAGACAATACAAGACACTGATAGACAGTAGGGTGTTGGGAGACAATACAACACTGATAGACAGTAGGGTGTTGAGAGACAATACAAGACACTGATAGACAGTAGGGTGTTGGGAGACAATACAACACTGATAGACAGTAGGGTGTTGAGAGACAATACAAGACACTGATAGACAGTAGGGTGTTGGGAGACAATACAACACTGATAGACAGTAGGGTGTTGAGAGACAATACAAGACACTGATAGACAGTAGGGTGTTGAGAGACAATACAAGACACTGATAGACAGTAGGGTGTTGAGAGACAATACAAGACACTGATAGACAGTAGGGTGTTGAGAGACAATACAAGACACTGATAGACAGTATGGTGTTGGGAGACAATACAACACACTGATAGACAGTAGGGTGTTGGGAGACAATACAACACTGATAGACAGTAGGGTGTTGAGAGACAATACAACACTGATAGACAGTAGGGTGTTGGGAGACAATACAACACTGATAGACAGTAGGGTGTTGGGAGACAATACAACACTGATAGACAGTAGGGTGTTGGGAGACAATACAACACTGATAGACAGTAGGGTGTTGAGAGACAATACAAGACACTGATAGACAGTAGGGTGTTGGGAGACAATACAACACTGATAGACAGTAGGGTGTTGAGAGACAATACAACACTGATAGACAGTAGGGTGTTGAGAGACAATACAAGACACTGATAGACAGTAGGGTGTTGGGAGACAATACAACACTGATAGACAGTAGGGTGTTGGGAGACAATACAACACTGATAGACAGTAGGGTGTTGAGAGACAATACAACACTGATAGACAGTAGGGTGTTGAGAGACAATACAAGACACTGATAGACAGTAGGGTGTTGAGAGACAATACAAGACACTGATAGACAGTAGGGTGTTGGGAGACAATACAACACGCTGATAGACAGTAGGGTGTTGGGAGACAATACAACACTGATATACAGTAGGGTGCTGGGAGATAATACAACACGCTGCTCGCATTTCACATACACACACCAATTTTTAAAGGTGAAATCCATATAAAATTCCTAAAGTATAAAATTAATTATTTTCCGTTGACAAACATTTGGCCAATATATCAGTAAAAATATAAAATAAATAATTTTGCAATAAATATGTAAAAAATCAAATAACTAATTCCCAATTTATAAACTGTATACTGAGTTTACTTTAGTCCCGTACCTCGTTTAGAACTTTATATTCACGGGTTAGTAAGTTTCTAAAGTAAACCTGACACCTAGTCAATAAAGAAACTTGTGAATAACAAAACCAGTGAAACTTTATTACTAAAATAATATGAAATGCGTTCATGTGAAGTTGTAACTAGTGATTGCTTCATAAATTTACTGTGTTGCAAAGTCTTGTGAGAAACGTCATGTGCCTAAGAGACTCTACAAATAGCAGCAGGGATACGAACCTAGAAGAATTTTTACTCTGGTCACGTCAACAAAACGTTAAGTTGATTTGATCTGGGTTTGAGTTTATATGCGGACTGTCCTGTAGTCTTCTTGTAAAAATACAGTATGTGTGGCTAACTTGACATGCAGTACCATGCTGTGCTACTGTTCCATGCTGTACTAAGAGATAATAGTATCACTATGCTGTGCTAAGCAATTACAGAAAAGCTAAAAGAACGTCAAGAGAGAACGTGGCTGGTGCAGTGATGTGGTAAATAGAGTCGGATGTCTCTGCCTGTCCGCTTAGGGAGTCTATAAGTATAGGCTGACCCCCCGTGGTTGTGTTGGTGATCGTAAGCACATACACACACACACACACACACACACACACACACACACATTGCCGAAGAAACATAAGAAAATTCACTTTCGCAAACAGAATGGTAGACGGTTGGAACAAGTTAGGTGAGAAGGTGGTGGAGGCCAAGACTGTCAGTAGTTTCTCAGCGTTGTATGACAAAGAGTGTTGGGAAGACGGGACACCACGAGCGTAGCTCTCATCCTGTAACTACACTTAGGTAATTACACATACCAGCCCACCCACCTCGCAAAGGGCCTCGCGGCTGAGTGGATAACGCTCTCGGGCCGTAGTCCGAATGGCCCGGGTTCGATTCCCGGCGAAAACAAATGGGCAGAGTTTCTTTCACCCTGATGTCCTTGTTCACCTAGCATTAAATAGGTACCTGGGAGTTAGACAGCTACTACGGGCTGCTTCCTGGGGATGTGTGCATGTGTGTTAAAGAGAAAAATATGTAGTAGACATAATAAAGGAAAAATAGATTGGTTAGAAAGGCGGGGTCCAAGAGATAAATAGCTAGATTCTGCAGACACAAATAGTAAATACACACACACACATGGGGGCCTCGTGGCCGAGTGGACAGCGCTCGGAGGTCGTGATGATGATAGGTCGCACACTACATGCATGCTGCGTTTAGTGTGAGGCAGGTGTCAGGTCTGGCTCTGTCTGTCTCCCCACCTGCTCAAGTATAGCGTGTAGTGTGAGGCAGGTGTTTAGGTCTGGCTCGGTCCGTCTCTCCACCTGCTCAAGTATAGCGTGTAATGTGAGGCAGGTGTTTAGGTCTGGCTCGGTCTGTCTCCCCACCTGCTCAAGTATAGCGTGTAGTGTGAGGCAGGTGTTTAGGTCTGGCTCCCCACCTGCTCAAGTATAGCGTGTAGTGTGAGGCAGGTGTTTAGGTCTGGCTCGGTCTGTCTCCCCACCTGCTCAAGTATAGCGTGTAGTGTGAGGCAGGTGTTTAGGTCAGTCTCCCCACCTGCTCAAGTATAGCGTGTAGTGTGAGGCAGGTGTTTAGGTCTGTCTCCCCACCTGCTCAAGTATAGCGTGTAGTGTGAGGCAGGTGTTTAGGTCTGTCTCCCCACCTGCTCAAGTATAGCGTGTAGTGTGAGGCAGGTGTTTAGGTCTGTCTCCCCACCTGCTCAAGTATAGCGTGTAGTGTGAGGCAGGTGTTTAGGTCTGTCTCCCCACCTGCTCAAGTATAGCGTGTAGTGTGAGGCAGGTGTTTAGGTCTGTCTCCCCACCTGCTCAAGTATAGCGTGTAGTGTGAGGCAGGTGTTTAGGTCTGTCTCCCCACCTGCTCAAGTATAGCGTGTAGTGTGAGGCAGGTGTTTAGGTCTGTCTCCCCACCTGCTCAAGTATAGCGTGTAGTGTGAGGCAGGTGTTTAGGTCTGTCTCCCCACCTGCTCAAGTATAGCGTGTAGTGTGAGGCAGGTGTTTAGGTCTGTCTCCCCACCTGCTCAAGTATAGCGTGTAGTGTGAGGCAGGTGTTTAGGTCTGTCTCCCCACCTGCTCAAGTATAGCGTGTAGTGTGAGGCAGATGTTTAGGTCTGTCTCCCCACCTGCTCAAGTATAGCGTGTAGTGTGAGGCAGGTGTTTAGGTCTGTCTCCCCACCTGCTCAAGTATAGCGTGTAGTGTGAGGCAGGTGTTTAGGTCTGTCTCCCCACCTGCTCAAGTATAGCGTGTAGTGTGAGGCAGGTGTTTAGGTCAGTCTCCCCACCTGCTCAAGTATAGCGAGTAGTGTGAGGCAGGTGTTTAGGTCTGGCTCGGTCAGTCTCCCCACCTGCTCAAGTATAGCGAGTAGTGTGAGGCAGGTGTTTAGGTCTGGCTCGGTCAGTCTCCCCACCTGCTCAAGTATAGCGAGTAGTGTGAGGCAGGTGTTTAGGTCTGGCTCGGTCAGTCTCCCCACCTGCTCAAGTATAGCGAGTAGTGTGAGGCAGGTGTTTAGGTCTGGCTCGGTCAGTCTCCCCACCTGCTCAAGTATAGCGAGTAGTGTGAGGCAGGTGTTTAGGTCTGGCTCGGTCAGTCTCCCCACCTGCTCAAGTATAGCGTGCAAAGCATCGGAAAAGAAGTGTTCTCTCTCTCTCATAAACCGATACACTACACTTTTTCGAAGATTTTTTTGTTTGCAAACAATTTACCGTCCGAGAAGAAATGTCCAACTTCGAATTTGTGTTCCTCGCTGCCATATATTCTGACCTGTATAGGTGCTGTTGGGGGGGGAGAAATGTTTAGATATTCTCTCATCCTCAGTCTTATATATATATGTTCCCTGTCACACTCTACCTTAGTTTTTACAGCAGCAAGCATTAATAGTTATACTGTTTTCCTTTATTATCCATCTTAATACTACTAATAATAATACCTTTAATATATATATGAACACATTACACTGTACTACGTAATGATTTTAAATTACAAAGAACTTCATAATTCTGTTTCCAAAGACTGTAAATAAGAAGACTATCAAAATATTATGATATTTTACTGATCAAAACATACAATAATATATATATATATATATATATATATATATATATATATATATATATATATATATATATATATATATATATATATGTATGTATGTATGTATTTAAATAATTAATTACTTAAAATTAAGTATTTTTTTATTAAGTAACTAGAAAATTAAGTAACCCATTCTCTGAAATTAAGTTTCAAATAAAATAAAATAAATATAAATATATACAGGGGTGGTAGGAGAAAATATAATATGATGGCAAATATATTACACCCCCACAGAGCTGCCCCGGGTGCTGCAGATCCTCTGTGTGGAGGCTGAGGGTCCTACACCAACCCCACCAGAAGACTGACCAAGGAGAGAGTGGTGGTGGTGGTGGTGAGAACAATAACAATGAACGCACCTTCGTGGATGTTAAGGAACATGCCGATGCCGTGACCCGTGCCGTGGCGGTAGTCCAGCCCCACCGCGTACAGCTCTCTGCAACCATGGATGTTATTAGCCCTCACACACACACACACACACACACACACACACACACACACACACCCTCTTTGTTATTGTCTACCTCCTACGGAACCCATGTGAATGCCCTCAAGTACACACACACACACACACACATGCCAGCTGGCACGATCACACACCAGCTGGTGAATACACGCCAGCTGGTGAATACACGCCAGCTGGTGAATACACGCCAGCTGGTGAATACACACCAGCTGGTGAATACACACCAGCTGGTGAATACACACCAGCTGGTGAATACAAATAAACACAACGTTTAAACACCGACGTAAATAACATTGTGGGTTTGCTGGCGTGAGAGTTAATTAACTGTCAAATAAAATGAATAGAAAAACTACGTCAAGACATACTAAGAGGTATATTTGTGTATATGTAATGGGAGTTTACTATACTCATTAACCTGAGACACAAACTGAGAGGTATATTCTTAGGAATATGTAATGGGAGTTTACTATTTCCATTAATTCGAGACATTAACTAAGAGGTACATTCGTGTCGGCGTACCTGCGCGCCAAAATGTCGACGTCGGAGTCTCCGGTGCCCTCGGGGAAGACCAGGCTGGCCAGGTCGATGGCGCCCATCAACACCCTGGTGTAGGCCTCCACCTGGAAGGGCGTCGGCTCCCCGTAGTGCATCGTCCGGGTCACGTCCGTCGTCCCGTCTAAGGTAGACAACATCATGAGACAGTTTGAGCATTAGTATCGTCAGAGGATCTACAGGTTTCGTATCCTGTGTGCAGGCTTTTAGTCTATAATAGTGTTATTTGTTGTTCTTCTTCCCGTTGCTGCTTGGAGTACACTGTTATGACTCCAACTGCTGCCTGTGATACACTGTTATTCCTCCTGCTACTGCTTAGGATACATCGTTCTTTGTATTGTAACTACCTGGAATGCATCGTTCTTTAGCCTGGTACTGTATAATGTATGTCATTATTACACCTGCTGCTGTTTGGGATCAACGACATTCCGTTCAAAATATTAAGTCTGTCTCTCTCTCCTACTCTGCTCAACCACTTGGGTTGGACGGTAGAGCGACGGTCTCGCTTCATGCAAGTCGGCGTTCAATTCCCGAGCGTCCAAGTGGTTGGATACCATTCCTTTCCCCCGTCCCATCCCAAATCCTTATCCTGACCCCTTCCCAGTGCTATAATAGTCGTAATGGCTTGGCGCTATTCCCCCTGATAATTCCCTCCCTCTCTCCTTCTCTTATAATTCAGAACATAAGCATAAAGGAAATTGCAGAAGGCCAAATGGCCATACTAGGAATCTCCTATTTATATATATATATATATATATATATATATATATATATATATATATATATATAAATATATATATATACGCATATATTTATACATGTCTAACCTACACTTGAAACAGCCAAGCGATCCCACTATTATGTTACCCGGTAAATTTTGCCCATAAATCAGCTACCCTAAACCCAAACCAATATTTATCCAGGTGTTTTATGAATGTAAATTGATCTGATTTATATACATTGTTTCGCGTTCCATTGTGTGTCCATATATCTAGCACTCTAGCTATTAAAACTAGCTATTAAAAACTATCAGTGTATATAATTATCTATCTATTAATAGCTATCTAGCTATTAATACCCCGTATTATGCCCTTTCACCCAGATGTATATTTTAAATCATGTAACACCTTACTCTTCGCCTTTGTGGCGTATGTAAACTATGGTAGAATTATAAGGATATATCTGAAAGTTACGGTCAATAATATTACGGAGAATGCCAGTTACACTACTTCTGTAACGACTGTAATTCCACTGTAATTTTCCACTGTAATTTTCCACTGTAATAAAAACTTCCATTACACTGTAATTTTACTAGGTTGTGTTTGACTGTAGTTTACCTCCCTGTAACGATCTTAATGTTACTTACCTGTAACGGCCGACTTACCCTTGTAATGGCCGCCAGAGTCGAGGAGGAACAAGGATGTGTTAAAGATCTGCTTGTTGGTCTCCTGCACGGGGTTGTAGTGCACCACGGCCCCGTTGGAGCCGAAGGCGCTGATGGTGGCGAAGGAGATACCCATGAAGTCGTCCTGCCGGGCCCGGTATTCTGCCAGGCTCTCCGCTACCAACATCTCGCTCCAGTACTTCCCATCGATCACCTGTAGAAAGGTGGTCGGTCATCAGGCAACATAAACACTGGAAGATGACAGCTCGTCAACAACCGCAGTTTATTCTTGGTGTCACTACGTCGCTGTCATCATTGGGGTCTATACCTACTGATAGCCGTCTCCACTGTGGTCTACACCTACTGACAGCCGTCTCCACTGTGGTCGACACCTACTGACAGCCGTCTCCACTGTGGTCTACACCTACTGACAGACGTCTCCACTGTGGTCTATACCTACTGACAGCCGTCTCCACTGTGGTCTACACCTACTGACAGCCGTCTCTACTGTGGTCTACACCTACTGACAGACGTCTCCACTGTGTCCTACACCCACTGACAGCCGGCTCCACTGTGGTCTACACCTACTGACAGCCGTCTCCACTGTGGTCTACACCAACTGACAGCCGGCTCCACTGTGGTCTACACCTACTGACAGCCGTCTCCACTGTGGTCTACACCTACTGACAGACGTCTCCACTGTGGTCTACACCCACTGACAGCCGGCTCCACTGTGGTCTACACCTACTGACAGCCGTCTCCACTGTGGTCTACACCAACTGACAGCCGGCTCCACTGTGGTCTACACCTATTGACAGCCGTCTCCACTGTGTCCTACACCCACTGACAGCCGTCAGTAAAAGTCGTGTGCACCCATCAACTCGCCTCATGTTCCAAATACGCTAAGAAGTCACAGAGAGCGACGGCGTCCTTAATGTGGGCCCTCTTCATGCCGTCGACTTCGACTGCGTTCTTGCGGGCCTTCATCAGCAGCACCGGAGACGTGACCAGCGCCCGCATCTCCTCAGGCACCTGCCAGGGCGGCGTGGCACCCCAGCCAAAGCACACAGAAACACATGAGAACGTTAATGTTACAAGTGAAAGAATGGGAATTTATATTAAATAATTTGAAAAACAAAATGGAGGCTAATCTAAAATGCTCAGAAAAGATCAAAGTTTACGAGAAGTGTTCTTATGGGAATGAACACTATTGTTCATCTTGTTTGCTAGGATGAGTTCACAATGGCGAGAAATTATAACATAAAAGAAAAGCAGACTTAAAATTGTTTTTTGTTTCGTATTTTTTAATAAAATAATACAAGCAGCAAATGTATTTCTGGCGACTTTGACGCGAAAACGTATATAAAGTTAAAAACTGGTTACATCTGCGTGAGAACTGTGCTGGCTGATTGGAATGAGTGTAGAGGTGTGTAGTAATTAGTGACGGCTGGGGAGCGCTAGGCCTATGTTCATCCAGCCGGCGTAGTCTAAGCCCACAGGCTTTACATCCCTCCACATGATGATATCTTGCATTTGTTATCTTGAGCTTAAGGCCTATTCAAGGGTTTCTACGTTGGTGTTAGCATTATGACCTACAACTAAGACGTTGTTAAGGTGGTGACACAACGTTGGTGTCTATGACCTACAATTAAGACGTTGTTAAGGTGGTGACACTTCCTTACTCACCAACCACCAAGTTGGTGAGTAAGGAAGTGTACCTGTTGAGTTTACTTCAGCCCTCAACATAGTTGAGGACTAGTGTAAACTGGCTGTATATACTGGTGTGTGAAGGTGGGTACACCTGTGGGTATATACAACGGTTGTGGAGTAAGAAGCAGGACAAGGTTAGTGTTGACTTACGGCCGAGTAGACAGCGTAAGACGCCCCTCCGGAGTACGAGTACTTGGCCCCCATCAACACCTTCTTGACGGTGTTGCGGACCTTGAGGGCTCGCAGGCGGTTCAAGACGGCCGAGTACTCGTTGATCCTGTCAACCACACCTCAAGTCAGTTATGAAGAAACAACTTGCAACAATTGAAATTGAATTGAAATTGAAATAAGTTTATTGAGGTAAAATACACACAAAGGGATGAGGTAGCTCAAGCTATTCTCACCCCGTTCAATACATCGTGTTAATACATACATATACACACATCACAAACAATAAACATATTACCAAACATTCTGAGAGATAAACATCTGCATTTCCTACTTGCAACAATAGTATGACAATATACCAATTAAGGCGGCATTATACCTCAAATGAAATATTTTTGTATATTTAGCTTTATAAGGAATTATTAAAAGTTTTCATGTATATGTGTACTTACCAAACAAAACTTACCTAACAGAGTGTCCAGGAACGAGCTTCAGCTCTTGGGCCCAGTCACAGGAAATATCGCTCATCTAATGCATTGATTCCCCGAACCTTCATTTTTGTTATCATATCCAGTTTTAAACCTAAGGATGGAGCCAGTCTCTACTATGTCCCTTTTACATGGTTCTACTTCCTTACTGCGTCTTGAAGAAGCGTTCCTCCCACCACTCAGTCTTATCTGCATGTCGAGCTTCCAAAAATGTTACACACATACTCGACATAACTCTATTCGATATTCATGTTTCACATGTTTTCACATGATACATGTTTCACTCTATTTTTTTCTATATTCGTTAGTATGCCTTATAAGGAATCCTTAATAGGCTTCATATATGGTAATAACATATATGAATCTATATTCGTATATGGTAATAACATATATGAATGAATAACATATACAGAAACATATATGGAGCATGTTTCTTCTTTTACTCTTATCTTCCAATATCGTTATATAGCTTCCTTAGTATATCCCGGAGCTCAGTCCTTTGAAATCTGGCACCATTAATGTAAGAAATCTCTGTACTTTCTCGGTCTCGTTTTGTGCCTTTTGAGATGAGGGTTCCACGCTGGCAGTGTACAGGACGTGCACAGGACTTCAGTAGCGTGTTGTTGGGATCCATGATCAAGTCCTGACACGTCCCACAGCACCTGTATCACCAGGTCCCTGGTGTAAACGGTGACGCTGGTCTGTGTGACAGAGGGGTGAGACCTGTCAGTCTTATCTATCAGTGACTGATGGCAAGTGCATCATGAGGCTTAGCTCTGTATGCCCCGCCTATAAGCCTTCTTGTACCTGTTGAGTTATAATGTAATAATCCTGACATGCAAATTCTTTGTCGGATCTGACCTTAAAGTTGAGGATGGCGGTGGTTTCTACAACTGTTATCTTTGAGGGCATTCCACTTGTTGACCACCACCCGTATAGGGTGCGGCTATTTCCTTACAATCATAGAACTCATTTGTGTTTCCAGCTTCCACTTGTGTCCTCTTGTCCTGCTTTATCTTCCCCCCTTCCCACCCCCGTGTGTGTGTGTGTGTGTGTGTGTGTGTGTGTGTGTGTGTGTGTGTGTGTGTGTGTGTGTGTGTGTGTGTGTGTGTGTGTGTGTGTGTGTGTGTGTGTGTGTGTGTGAGCACATCAAGTGGTATAGAAGGGGTGTGTGTGTGTGGAGAAGGCGTGGTGGTACTCACACAACACACTCCTGGCCGTGGCACTGGTTGACGCGAAGATGGTTGTCAACCTGCGGGGTGATCTTGTCCTTGGGGATGTACAGGTCTACACTCTCCCTCCCCACCAACACGTAGCTCCTGAACACTGCAGGGGACAAGGCCGCAAACATCAGAATAAAGGACACCGTAGTCGAAGGCCTATTGGCCCATACCCGGCACCTCTTATTTATATCCACCCAAACTCATTCATACATATGTCAAATCGACGCTTGGAACAAGCGATCTACGTCACGTATATTATGTTACTTCATCAAAAAAGGTTAACTCAGTAATATATTAATTAATAGCTGTATTTATGTAGTTGTATCAATTTGATGTATACTCATTATTAAATCTGCAGTATATATAAATATTGAGGAGTTAAGGAGGCGTGGGCAGTACCTGGGTTGTAAGGTATGTCGCTGCCCCGAAGGTTGAGGAGCCAAGCCACTTCATCGAGCGCCGTCACCACCAGCAGGTCCGCACCTTCCTTCAGCATCTCTCGCCGCACGTCCGCCACCTTGTCCTCCCACCGTTTACCTTACACCAAAATGTTCATTGTGTTAACTTTTAAGTCTTTGGAAATGTAAGGAGTACCTTGCGCAACGCATCCCTAGGCGTCAGACCATAATAAGGTGTGAAAATGAAATTAGGAGAGTTAATTTTTCAATTTCCCTCGACAGTGAAGAAAAACAAAGGAAATATTGAGAAGATTCGTGTTAGAATCATTAATCTTACCCTTGGGCTACATGCAGACAGCCAGGGGCTCCATGCACCTTAGCGTACCCAGTACTTAACCCGCTAGACCACATTGACTCTTCAAAAGGATTGGAAGTCATCGGACCCTTAACCCCCCCCCCCCCCTCACACCTCCCCAAACAGCACTCGGTGGTCAATTTTGGGGACAGATATTTCATCGAATTACTTCGCATAATGTGGCCACGTGATTAACCCAAATGCGAACAAGATTGAATGGTCCCCAAGCCAATATGCTTGAGGACCAATATATACACACATTTTTCAATGACATATTTATAATCTTCTTGTTTGAGGAGCTGTTCACTTGAGACAATTAAGCAAGTCCCAGCTGTGTCTGGGTACAAGTGACAGGATGAACAACCCAGCGGGTTTTCTTCCTATTGGGGAGTGTTGTACATGCTGCTATAGCGGTGTGTCCACTCACAAGATGAGTGGCGCTGCCCAATATATTATAATGTTATTGTGGCAATATAATGGCAATCGATGATTGTATGTATGCACTATATAATACAATATACAATTTAAAAATTCAGGAAGGTGTGTTAGTTTTGCTTTTGTGTACTGAACTAAGACATGTGAGTGCTGACCTGCGAACTGGAGTTCGTGGATGAAAATAGGTTCTTCAGAGTAGGGCGGGCGCTCACTCGACGGCCACACCAGGTCCACCAGGTTCGTCTCCTCCGCCACCAGTGTGATGTCAGACTCTGGTGGATAAAACACAAGAACACTCTTAATAGTACTGCCCAACCACTTGGACTGGACGGACCAACTTCAATTTAATAATATACTTTTAACAAGTAGAAACGTTATCGTAGCACAGTCGATTAAGGTGTGTCTGGGATCCTCTCAGACGTAGGTTCGAACCCTTATCACGGCCCTTGCTCAATGGTGTTTATATAGTAGCTGGGGAGGGGGTACACAGCAGTAGCACAAGAGTCTACACAGTGTTGGAGTACTCACTGCTCAAGTCTTCAGCGTAGGAGAGCCAGGTCTTGGCCCCAATGAGTCGAGGGTCGGCGCCCACCTTGGAGCCCGGCGCCAGTTTCTGACGCAGCCACTCCACCATCCCGGGCACCTGACGGAACACAACAACCCCACGATTTTATTGGAGAAATACTGAGGCCCATCATGGTTCATTGGTAGTGAGTGTGCCTGGGGGAGTCCAGGGGTGCAAGTTCGATCCCATCATACAACCCCAATATATATTGAAGGAAAATGCTCAAAGTATATAAATATGCTGATGTTAAGAGTATATTTATCTAGTAACTAATGCTGCAGTATATTATAATGCTGGGAAAAAAAATTCATGGTATTTGTTTTATCTGGTCAAGAGCCAGTAAACTCGTGGGACTACGTGTAAACTCGTGGGACTGGCGGTAAACTCACCCCAAGGTTCTTCTGCTTCATGAGGAGCCAGTGACAGTCGAGCTGGGTGTCGGCCTGCAGGAAGTAGCGGCCGTCCGTCCACAGTGCCTGGAGGTCACTGGTCACCACGGCAGTGCCGGCACTGCCAGAGAAGCCGCTGATGTACTCCCGACGTCTGTCAGCGGACGCCACGTACTCGCTCTGACGGAGGCAACCTTCATCACTCTCACCCCACCATGCTAAGTGCTCAATGGTACATTTGACACGACAAACTAAGTTCTGTGCTTGTTTTGACACGAAAAACTAAGTTTTGAGCTTGTTTTGACACGAAAAACTAAGTTTTGAGTGTGTTTTGACACGAAAAACTAAGTTTTGAGTGTGTTTTGACACGAAAAACTAAGTTTTGAGTGTGTTTTGACACGAAAAACTAAGTTTTGAGTGTGTTTTGACACGAAAAACTAAGTTTTGAGTGTGTTTTGACACGAAAAATTAAGTTTTCTGTTTGTTAAAGCCGTATATAGCATTAGGTTAGGATGTATTACCCTGGGACAGGATGGGTTTAGTTCAAGTTAGACTGGCTGACGTTAGGCTGTGTTGCGTTAGGTTAGATAAGGTTGGGATTAGTTAGGATTATGGCAAGTTAGGTAAGGTTAGGTTAGGTTAGGTTTTCAAATGCCCCTTTGCACACTGTCATGTGGACGATGTGACTTGTATTTATCATTTGTTACACTGGTTCATTTATTTTGATGTTATAAGAGGCGATGTTTGTTATTGTTGATGGTGTGGGAGTAGTGGTTATAGTTCAACCCGTCCTCTTAAAAATAACGTCACTTTTGGCTCGTATGCGCACTATGGCCAAATTTGGACGTAATTTGAAATTAAATCGACTCACAAAAGTGACGTTCTGTTCCGTTTTCTATTTGAGTCGTCCGGACTACGCGCAGAGGTTATGAGAGGACATTTTAAATTAACGTTTTTCATAACGTTTTGAAACTTTATGAGAATTTCCTGCCCACTTAACCTATCAGAGGACCCTTAACTTACTGTTGTTGGAAAAATAAATCCCAAATTTATTTTAATTTTTTTTTTTTTTTCAAATTACGTCCAAATTCGGCCATACGGGCAAACGGCCAAAAGCGACGTTCGTTTTAAGAGGACAGGTTGCATAGTTACCTGGTGTTCGTCGTCGGTGGGGATAATGTAGGCGTCGAACCCCTTCCTCGACATCTGGGCCCTCAGCCGCGCCACCCTGTGGAACACACAGCTTCTGGTAACACTGGCTCCTCTTTCTCATTCTTGCTGATACTCTGGTAACACTGACTGAAGATCACCCCACCTACCCAAAGCTACCTACCTCTACGACCTTTCTACCCTTGCCTCCAACCTTTCTGTGCCACCTTTCTAAGCTGACTTACCTACCACCTTCTCCACCGGCCTATCTACCATCTTTCTCCACTGGCCTATCTACCCCCTTCTCTCCCTCCACCGACCTATCTACTCCCTTCTCTCCCTCCACCGACCTATCTAGCCCCTTCTCTCCCTCCACCGACCTATCTACCTCTCTCCCTCCACCGACCTATCTACCTCTCTCCCTCCACCGACCTATCCGTAGTGTTGACTCTGGTGCGCGGCTGGTGGTCGACAGGGAGGTCTTGCTGGCAGAAGGACCTCTCATCCAGCGTGACCTCCCGCACCTGCCTGGTCTTCCCTCCGGCAGACTGCTCCTCCTCCTCCAGCAGCCAGCTCTCGTCCTGGTAGCCATCGTTGAGGTGACACCCTCGGCAAGCTC